AAAGTATCGGACACATTTAACCTATTCGGTACACTGCAAATGCAAAGGCGATACTTAAGTACATTTTTTGGCTATACAATTGAGTATCGCCAATAAACGGCCTTACGGAAAAGTATTGCCTTCAGAACAGCGATACACAGAAGTATCGCCAAAATTTGGCGATACTTTTGGGCATCGCAAAAACCACGGCATTAAACTAAGAACTCGTCCCCTTGATTTGTTCAACGTTTAGTGCCAAATCGTGGCAGTACTCCAAAGTATCGCCAAATTTTGGCGATAATTCTAAGTTGAAAGTATGGGTCGTCAGTTGTTAGGTTTTTTTGAGAGTGTTTCCTGTTCATGGTGTCATGCCATGAACCCTGACCCTGTTACTCAGTCGTGTAACATTTAACAGCCAGCATTGAATTGCTTAATACGATTCACAAATACTTCAATTATCATTCGATATCTCCTTGTTACTGAACTTATGAATACGCAATGTTATTAGTAATACCTAAAAGGCCTTTCTCCCTTTTAGTTTAAACTAGTGGATTAAACTATTTTGATTTATCTGCATTAATTAAAGAGAGACATATTTACAGGCAGGCTTATTGCAACTACTTTACGGAGAAGACCTTCTGTCAGATCCAATGAATCGTTCCATAGAATCCAATGTCGAGGCCACTTAGTGCTAAACGCAAGTTTATCTTATTCATAATGATAGTCATGATGTGCTATTTAATCTTTGAAACAGTTTAGCAAAAGTATTTACTTAACATTCTGAGTAAATTAAAAAGAGAGCCAACTCAAACCATGATCAACACAAATTGCCAGTTGTCGCAGACAATGCATGATTAAGTTAAAAGAATCGTCTCATGAAATCATATGACCAAGTCGGTGAATCGTCTCATTGAATCTGATGTCAATGTCAAACCTTGAATGCGCTACACTCACTCATCATATGGTTTTCTTTAAGGTTAGTACTGTAGTAAACTCACAGCATTGCAATGAAGCCTTTTCCCAGCCCAGAATCAGTGCCAAGAGTCAGCAAAGACTATTTATTTTGGCAAGATTAGTATCTGGTTTGTACTTATAGAATGTATTAATATATTTTCTAACTGTTATTGAGCAAAGCAAACAACTAAAAAATACAGTGTCTGAGAATATAAATGGAAATACACTCACAAAGGTTAAAAAGACCAAATCATTCTTGCAATTATCAAACACACTCCACTGACTAAACATTTGCCCTGTAGCGGTGTAGCGGGGGAGGGAGGGAAGGGGGCGGACGGACGGACGCAACGCGTCACTTTCATCTTCCGTATTTCACTGAGTTGACACTCCGGAGGGGTTTCAATTATTCTAAAATATCGAAAAACTATGACCGTACTCACTTCGAAGCCCTTCTGCTCTTTAGTTTGTTTTATTTGCCAATGTTTTGCCAGGTCCCGTATTTGAGAGTCGCGGCCGCAAGTATGAAAAAGCTACGAGCTGCCAACCACTGCCAACCTAACCACGCTAAGAACCTAATTCAAAAAGATGTTTTGAATATTTCAAACAATAGTAATCGTGAATATAAGATAAACTCCCCCTGGGGGGAGATTTAGGAGCCTTCCGGTGCGAAATTTTGAAACTATTTCTGTGGCAATACAACAAAGTGACGTAAGTCAAAAACATCAGTATTTCAGGAGACGTAAAAAACACTTTTCAAAATCAAGCAACAGGTTAAAACTTTAACCGATGATAGGAGAATTTCTTGTGGCACTTAAAAAATACTTTTATGTTAAGAGAAAGTTAAAATAATGATTGGTTTTCCACTTCGCTAGACTTACGTCACATGATTTGTGATTTTTAATCCAACAAAGTGACGTAAGTGCACTTACGTCACTTTGAAAGTTTATATTTTACTCCGTTCGACACCTCGTCGGAACAAGCGGCTATCTCCAAAGGGAGTGCAGACAAACGGCTATCTGTGAAGGAGCTGCAGACAAACGGCTATCTTTTTGCCCCCCTGCAGACAAACGGCTAACTGACTTTTCGGGAGAGGTTAGGGTTGGCCGGGTTCCTTGAGTTTTTCTCAGGTTAGACGCACGTGACAGACTCATGTTATGTGTCAATCTGCTCTGACAAACTTTTGACATCTGTTGGATAAGGTCAAATTTGACAGGCTCAATTGATTGTAAATATATAAGTATCCAAACTCGGGAAGTGGAGAAAACAGTTAGCCGTTTGTCTGCAGGGGGTCAAAAAGATAGCCGTTTGTCTGCAGCACTTTCACAGATAGCCGTTTGTCTGCACTCCCTTTGGAGATAGCCGTTTGTTCCGAGGAGGTGTCGCGTTGTGACCCCTTCTATATATTAAAGTTTAGACAGTGCAAGTCATTAGCTGTATGACATAATCGTACTCGAGGTCCCTGCCCAGCTGTGAAAAAAATCTGTGACGCAAGTGTACTTACGACACATTTTTTACGACATGATTTCAAAAAATATGTCGTTAGTGCACTTACGACATTTTGGCAAATTGACTTCTGAATGAAATTGACTTACGTCAGATTTTACTTGCCATTATCTCCTAGCCCAAATGAGAAAAATGTAATTGTGCATATTGGAAAAGGTCCGCATCAATGAGAGGGTTCCAACCGTGCGACTAACTCGTTTTTGTCGTAAGTGCACTTACGTCACTTTGTTGTAATGCCACAGATTTGTGCGGTAGTTGCTGAGAAACGTGAGTGAGTTACAGTCACTCAGACAGACGCACGACCAGTCACTTTTTTGGTGCCCCCAAACACGGCATGGGCTCGCTTTCGCTCGCCAACAATGAGTAACTCATTACGTACATAAGGCGTTCAGTTTTTCCCTACTCTACATTAAATTCTTCTTAAATGCAAAAACCACTTTTAAGAAACAGATTACTACTTTTCAAATTTAGTTCTTACTTTTAAGAAGAAAAAGTTTACTACTTTTACTAGCAAAAAGTCTTTGTAAACTGCTTCATAAAACAGTTTCTTAAATTTTAGATGGATTTTTTTAACAGTGTAACTCCTTACAACGCTTCCAATCAGCAATGCCAGCGCTGAAAGATCCTTTTCAGCCCTGCGCCGTTTGAAGAATCGGTTGAGGTCCACAATAGGCGAGGACAGACTGAATGGCCTTGCTCTTTTAGTGGCACATAGGGATATAGATGTTTCAACTCGCGCTGCTCGCTGGGTGCTCCGCCCCCAGACCCCCGCATGTGTGGAGCGCGTGCCGGAGTATTTAGTAAGTCCGTGGTGACCAAAGGCAAATTTTCTAAGGAAGTAAATGTCCTGCTTCTTTGAAAGCTCTATTTAACCGCTTTTGACCATATAATAAGGCTACTTTTACTGCCCAAATACATAGCTTGTATTGCATTGGCTACTGTGGCAGTCAATGGGTGCATACAAGGTCCGGAAAATATTGAAGACTGCTTTGACAAGGATAGAGGTGAAAGGAAAAAAACCTTAGGTCTCTACGACCACTCCTTGACCCCAAACATTTCTATGAGTGAGTGAGTGAGTCAGTGAGTCAGTCAGTCGGATTGGGGCTATATAGGTTCTTGATTGATGAGTGAGGGAGTCAGTCAGTCGGATTTTGGGGCTTTATAGGTTCTTGATGACAATTGATGATTGATTTTGAGGATGTTGCCGGTGACGGGGACCCGATTGCGGCACAGTTTCGGAAACGTCTCGACCAGACCTACCGATGGGGCGAATAAAAATTTTTAGTCGGTCGGTCCCCTTTTTTGAAGATTGAGTGGATTTTGTTGAATTTAGGCCTATTTAATCGTTTTTTTGAGGATGTTGCCAGTGACGAAGACCCGATTGCGGCACAGTTTCGGAAATGTCTCGACCAGACCTACCGATGGGGCGAATAAAAATTTTTAGTCGGTCGGTCCCCTTTTTTGAAGATTGAGTGGATTTTGTTAAATTTTAGGCCTATTTAATCGTTTTTGAGGATGTTGCCGGTGACGGGGACCCGATTGCGGCACAGTTTCGGAAATGTCTCGACCAGACCTACCGATGGGGCGAATAAAAATTTTTAGTCGGTCGGTCCCCTTTTTGAAGATTGAGTGGATTTTGTTGAATTTAGGCCTATTTAATCGTTTTTTGAGGATGTTGCCAGTGACGGAGACCCGATTGCGGCACAGTTTCGGAAATGTCTCGACCAGACCTACCGATGGGGCGAAAAAAAATTTTTTAGTCGGTCGGTCCCCTTTTTGAAGATTGAGTGGATTTTGTTGAATTTAGGCCTATTTTATCGTTTTTTGAGGATGTTGCCAGTGACGGAGACCCGATTGCGGCACAGTTTCGGAAATGTCTCGACCAGACCTACCGATGGGGCGAATAAAAATTTTTAGTCGGTCGGTCCCCTTTTTTGAAGATTGAGTGGATTTTGTTGAATTTAGGCCTATTTAATCGTTTTTTTGAGGATGTTGCCAGTGACGAAGACCCGATTGCGGCACAGTTTCGGAAATGTCTCGACCAGACCTACCGATGGGGCGAATAAAAATTTTTAGTCGGTCGGTCCCCTTTTTTGAAGATTGAGTGGATTTTCCCGCGAAAACGGATTTAATATTATTGTATAAGTCCATGTAAGGTCCATATTTAAGCTTAATTAAAGCTTTATTTAGAGTTTATTAAGAGGGCTTTCCTTATTTAACTTATATGGGCCTTCTTAATATGTTTTTACCGGACTTATTTGAACCAAATTAAAATTTTCTCTTTAATAAAAATGCACCTTATAAGGGAATTATGGTTTCAACCACCTTATTAAAGTTTAATTTGGTCCTAATTAAGTCTTTAGAAGTTTTGCGTTCTGATGCTTCACAACACGCAAACGCTCAAAGAGCCGGGTCGTTTGCAGCCCGGCGTCCTAGGCAGCCCGCAAACCTCTGCTGCAGTCCAGGCGGTTGGGCTGCCTACCTCGCAGGCGCTCTGTGTGGCGACTCGAGGGAGGCCGCCGCCCGCACCAAGCGGCGAAAGGCGGCGGGCTGCGGGAGGGAGGGGAGGGGGACGGGGAGGCTGTCACCAACTCAACTCGGTCAGTCGGGTCAGTCAGTCAACATTTTGCTACCGGCAGCAGCTTGACAGCTTGACATAATGGACAGCGACAGCAGTGATTACATGGTGGGGCATCATGAGGAATGGGATGATACGCCGGGGCAAGAATGCCAGCAGGCGGAATCCCCAGAAAGCCAAGTGAGTAAGCAATAATAACCGCAGTTTAGTAATACTCAGAGGAGAGGTAAACATGAGTGGAACATTACTGTTTTATTTCTAGATTGATTCTTTACGCCATGAACTCAAGCAAACCAAAGAGCTTCTGAAGCACATGGAGTGGCATTGCCATGTTTATCGAATGGCTCTACAGAATGTACCAGGGGGATTAGCAGCTTTGCACGAGGCACATCAAGTGATAGAAAATGCAACTTCTCCTACATGCAATGCTTGCGAGAGAGACTCAATGCTGAAACGGATTCAAGATCTTGAGAACAGTCAGGGTGGCTCTCCAATTTTTCACTCCACCTACTCGAGAAAGGTACAGTTTATTGTTGTCTGCATTGAGAAGGTGTCAATTAATCTTTATGACTGACTATGCTCTCTGTTTGAATCGTTTCTTTTTAGAAAAGAGAGGGGAGGAAAGAAAAACAACAATGAAGAATAGACATGTCTTATTTTATTCATGCATTTTTATTCTTTGTTATTTGAGTACAAAATTATGAGTCATAAGTTAATGTTACAATTGTAATTGAATTTAAAAGAAGAATAAAACATTTGAACAGTATTAAAATGGGCTAGAAATGTTTCTTAAATTGTAATATCACAGATACTTCTCATACCGATTGGGGTTAAGACAAATTGTGTCATGAACTCTTATAACCTTGGTTACGATGTCATTTACTTTCACTAGAACAATATCTTCTGTTACGTCAATAGGAAGAATGTGCTTCACAGCTAGTCTCAAATTATCAATGTAAAACATCCTTGAATGATCGATTCTAAACTTTTTCACAACTGCAAAAATACCATCACTTTGAGAAATAAAATACCTTATTGCTCCATAAGCCCAGGATGATTCAGAAGTTTTAAATTTGATTATGTAGTTACATCGCTTTCTTTGTCTTGTATATGATTCAGAAGTAAAAAAATCTCTGCCTCTTTTCACACAGGAATATACATTATTGGCAGTTACATTAGTCAAACCATGATCAAGAAAAACATGTTCATCTTCCTGAAAGTGAACACTAGTACAATTGTTTACTGGAATAAAATCTTTAGGAACATTACCTACAGTGCGTTGAGTGTGAACCATACTTCTAAGAATCTCTACTCCATGGACTAAACGAATATTTCTCATCAATTCTATACCAGGATTTTTTGTGCCATGGGTGAGATTGACCACATCACCATTACAACCTTCAAGAGAAAATGCTGCAGTGCACCACAGAGGCCCCCACCATTTCACATATAAATCAAGGTGGAGAAGTTGATGTACATTATATGTATTATCTCTCTGCCTGTACAATCTACCAACATCTTTGACAAAAGCTCTTAACAATAACCTAGCATTTTTTAAATCTTGCCTAGTTATCTCTTCCTGCAGAAGTAGATACACTGCTAACACTAACAGAGACCAGTGCTTCACATATTGATTTGGCAGTTTTCCTGAAATGCAAGGTAAAGAATAAAAAAGCAGCCAATGCCTAAACTCACTGGCTTTCCAATATTTAAAGTCACTTACATTACGAGGTAATCTAGTAATGTCACTTGGAGGAGCTGTACTCTGCATAAAATTGTCCATATCATTTACAAAATGGGAAATATTCCAAGGACCAGGAACAGTTAACCACAGGTTTAGAAAGCGTTTGACCACACCTAAACAAACTCCATGCATGTACTCGCTAAAAACACATCTTGCAGTATCAAGATCAGGGAGACATGACACAATAGTAGGGCCTTTCACACCAAGACATGGTTTTTGAGTATTGAAAGCAATCCTGGCTTGCCGCCTCATTCTCTCATCAGTGCGCAATGTGGCTGGTATTTCTTTAAACATGAAACCTCTCTTACGGGTAACTTTGACACCCCTACGTTTCAGCCGCAATTCCTGTCGAGTAAGAGGTATTTTTTCCATAGTTTGTTCACATGTGTTACAGCCAAAATTTCCATTATGACTTATAAGATTTTGAATCTTGGCCCTTGCAGGGGCATCAGCACAAATAACAGGTGCTCTAACTACAGATCTACACTCCTCTCCTGAGTCAGGATGCTTCCAAAGTACACCGCCTTCAGAATCTATTTCATTAACAAGTTCAACAATTGGCTGCAAAAAGGTGTTCATTGGTGCATCTCTTGTGTCACACCATATACCACAAATTATGATAAATCTATGTCGTATGTGTGGAGGAACTTCACAGATTACAACCATCAGGGGCCAAAACTTGGTTTTAGAACTTTTCCTTATTGTTACTCCATCTGTATAAATCATTAATGTTATGCTAAATTCACCTTTCACTTTAACTTTAATGTACTGAGATCCATCAGTAATATCCCGTATCACCCCATCTGATGCCTCTCTCTGCTTTAAAAAAGATGCCAGATTACCATGTTCGAAAAAAAATCTAATCTGGTCCTTCAAAGAAAACATATAGAAGTTGGAAACCTTTTCACTTTCACAACTAGCAACAGGGCATCTATTCTCAGAATCTAACAGTAACAAGCACTCTCCACAATATGGGACAGGTTTCTCAAAATAATCAGGCACTAACCTTAATACATGGTTTGTTAGTTGTGAATAAGTTTTTGGCATGTTATTACGCTTGGGCAAGTATTTTAAAAGAGTTTGAAAGTGACATTTCAAGCTTTCTTGAGTTTCACGATTCTTTATGCTGTCAGTCAGGATGTCAAGAACAGCTTCATCAACACTAAAATCACAGCCAGAATACAGTTCAAAAAAATCTTCCTTGTCAGAGTCTGAGTCTGAAGCAGGGCACGATTCTGCACTGGAATCAAGAGAACATTCCACTTCTTCTGGAACATCACATTCTGAATTGGAACTAGAGGGGCAGAGCTCACTTTCATTGGACGATCCCTCAGACTCCGCAGAAGGTGATGTACTGCTGTCAAACTCGGAAACACTGTCAACACTGGAGTGATCTTCACTGATGTCTTGGTCAACATTGCACTGCTCGTAGAACACTAAATGATTCGGAGAAGTTGCTTCAATGGGCACTTCCTCCATCATTTCAACACCAATGGCTTCCCATCTTGCAGCTGTTGATTTTGTTCGCTGAAAAAATAGCCAAAGTGAGTAAATGCCTGCAAATGTAAAAAAAACAAACAATAAAAATTGCAACATTACCAATACTTACAGAATTAACAGCATCAAACACTTGCCACTTTCTGCGTTTGATGGGAGGGCTCCTTGAGGGACTAGGAGACGAAGTGGGAGATAATTCCACTCTCAGAGGTGATGAAGGTGGTGAAATATTTGAGGCTAAGCCATCCATTGCGCTGCCTAGCTGCCTAGTCACTAGTTTAACCTATAACAGAATACCAAACAAAGGGAGTCAGCTAAGGTTTCTTGCGGGAAAGCATGAAGAAACTCGACTAAACCTAGTATTGTACTCACCTTTGAAATGTGTGGGCGGCATGCCAAGATAAAAATTCAAGACGAGGCAGCTTGTCCCTCTAAAGCGGGCCTACCTCAGTGAGAGATGGCTGAAAAGATATGGAAAGTAAGTGAATGCCTCAAAACAGAAAAAAAACAGAAGATGCAGCATCACCAATACTCACAGAATGGTCAGCATTACAAACTCGCCACTTTCTGCGTTTGATGGGAAGGCTGCATGGTGCAATGAGAGAACACGCAGGTGATCATCCCACTTTCGGCGGTGACAAAGGTGGAGAAGTATTTAAATAAGAGTGAGTTATCCATTGCACTGCTAGCTGCCAAGCCACTGGTTTAACCTATAACAGAGTACCAAACAGAAGCGAGTCAGCTGTTGTTTCCAGTCAGAAAGCGAAATCAGCATCCCGAAACTTGACTAAACCTCGACTTGTACTCACGTTTAAAATGTGTGAACGGCATGTCAAAATAAAAATTAATGGCGAAGTAGCCAGTCACCCTCCGGCACACCTCCCTCAGCGTGGCATGGCGGTCAGATGTTTATGAACTTTCACTTTCGATGAGGGGGAGGGGAGGGGGAGAGGCGCTTCAGCGCTCCGGTATGGCCAACGCTTTGCATGAAATGGAAGTCTGTCGTCTGCATTAGACACCCAGAAGGGATTCAGTAGCAATTTTAAGAGTAAATATTTACTATTTTATTTACTCAAGGGTAACAATTAAGACAAACTGTACAAAAACGCGCTAATGTTTTAAAAGTTTTTTTTTTTTTTTAGCTGTTGGCTCTGCCGATAGAGCTCTCGAATGAATCTCGAACTCGAACTCGACAGGCAACATGGCGGAGACGTCACCACAGGGATTTAAGACGAAGTTGGACCGGTTCGAAGTTACTTTTTCGTACGACAAAGTGTTCCGTTGGAACCTGCATTTCGCTCCTGCTATTCTCAGTGTGTTACCTGCCACCATGGCCTCCGACGGTTCGAACTGCGAGGATGTGTTTGTGGTCATCGAGACGCCTCGAGATTTCTGTGTGGTGGAAGAGGATTCTGTTATCTTTTCCGAACCCCTGAGCCTTGGAGATAAGGTCAAGTTCAACTGGTCGAAAACACAGCGGCTGGAAGGCATAGTGCGTTTCATCAGTGGTGAGTACCGATCGTTCAATGCAGTTAGCGCATAACCTTACTCGTGCTCTCATTCCACGTGCCGAAGCTCCTTAACCTCCAATGCTGACATCGCCTTCCGGCTTCCTGTTGTTTTAAGTTCTTCCGGCTCTAGTTGTAGACATCCGCCTTGACATTAGGATTTGCATGTATGTGGTTCATGTCTGTTAATCTGGTCCATCTTATTGTCACGTTTTCTCAATTCAATCCCAAATAGTTCTTAACCTCCCCCGGCCTCTCCCCCTTCATTCTTTTTCTCTCTTTTCTTCTTCTGGCCTCTAGTCTTTGAATTTAAAGCTAATGCTGTGCTATGTCTTTACAGTGAATGCGGATTTGTGTCATGAGGAAGCCCGTCGCCTGCATAGGTTATCCAGGAAGACACGTAATTCTGGATCATTCCATGAAAACTCGCCACGGAAATGCCGGGGGAGGGACCCAGCTCAAAGTCTATTGAAATCTCAATCTCTTCCCAAGAAGCCCAGCAAGGTTAGTAATCTGGCTAGGTTATGTTACATCATGGTTACATTATTTTTGTTATAATTCTTTCAATGAATAGGATTTGAAGCCTGCTCGTATCACGGAGAGAGAACTTCTGAAGAATTTCAGTTATCAGCGAGGTCGCAACATGATTGTCTCAGACGGTTCAGATGTTGAATCCAATGTAAGTGAAGTGATTTAAAAGTCTTTGTTCCCTTCACTTCATGTATTCGTTTAAATAATAGCACATTTTCTACTTTAAAGGAAGATGATGTGGTTGTCGAGACCACTGAGGTGGATTCTGTCTCATCAATGAAGAGCAGCGAGAGCAATCAGGATTTGCTTTCTAAGGTATATTGTTTCTCCTAGTGCTGTGTAGAATTAATCTCGCATCTTTATTTATTACGGTTTTGTCTGTTTCAGTTAATGATGAGATTTGATTCCGAAATGCTGAGTAAACTAGCTGATGGCAAGACTAGTTTGGAGGATTTGGCAAGCGGCAGGAGTGCTAGCTCTGCGTCCGGAGGCTCGTCTCAGCCCCTCAGCAGCTGCAACAGCTTTAGGACTTCCGACTCTGTTGCGAGACCATCTGCTAACTCAACACCTCTCACCAGCTCTTCATATACTAAGAAGAAACTCTTCAGATTCCACAGAGTGATTGGAAAGGTGGAACCATTTGCTGGACAACAGTACCTGTTCCCCGAGGCGCCACTTGATCCAAATGAGGTAAGCCTTCCACTTTTAGTTGTTCCATCTCACTGTCAGTCTCCTCCTCTCCAGTCCACATGTGCCATCACAATAGTAGTCCCATAACCTAGTTTGATTTTTTTTTTGCAATACTTTTATTGCATTAGTTTTGTTTAAACTTTAACATTGGCTGAGACTGAGCTTGCTGCATTCACTGATAGTGTTATTGTTCAATAAAGTAATGGTGCTTTTTCTTTTCTTTTCACAGGCTGTTCAGTTGTACGAGAACTCAGGAGTCTACTGCTGTGCTCTGCAATTCTCAAGGGCAGAATCCGGTTCCTCTGCTACTATGGTAGCTCGCCGACTGGTTGAGGGTGTTTTCACTAGAGAAGCTCTCTTGTCTTCATCAGTCTCTGGGCTGCCTCCAAGGGGCAAGGGGAAGGCCGCCTATGCTGGGCAGGGAGCTACAGCAGTGAAACCATTTCTAGACCCAAAGGGCATCAACGCCATTGTCTGTAAGTTGACAGCCATTTTATCCTAATCATTAAAATGTTTCAATCAAGTGTTTAAATTTCTTCTTCTCTTTCTTTTTACAGGTCAGTCATTAATCTTTCAGAAGAAAAAGCATTTTATGAGGAAGAAGGATGAAACCCAAATTCGTCAAAGCATTGCTGTGAGGCTAAATGAATTACAGAGATTAGGGAACGCTGAGAACTCTGAGAACAATTTATAATCTTTGATCATGTTTGTTTTAGAGTAATGATTCTCGTCAAGGTCTTGTCGAGTTTTCTCATTTGAAGACTGATTGTAAATACCTATTCTATTATTTGCACTGCTGGCATTAAGAATTCATGTTTTTTTAGAGTAATGAAACTCGACAAGACATTGATGAGTGTTTTCATTTGAAGACTGATAGTTAATACCTGTTCTATTGTTAGTTTGCACGACTGGCATTACAATTAATGTTTGTTTTAGAGTAATGATACTTGTCAAAGGTCTTGTCGAGTTTTCTCATTTGAAGACTGATTGTAAATAGTCTGTTATAAGTGTGCACTGGCATTAAATGAATTTATGACATTTACTGTGTTCTATTGTACCCATGCCATTTCCCTGGAGCCAGTGAGCTATTCAGCAACTTTTCTGAACAGTCTGTATTAAACACATATAAAGAACAAATAAGAATTATTTTCTTAATATAATATATATAACTGAATAAAATGGGCCCAAATAAAACTAGATTTAATCAAATAAAACACTATAAAATTTTATTGAATCTTTATTAATACTCGGCAACCATGTTGCTCTTGAATGAACATGGGTCAAGGTTCATGCCTCCAGTTAATGCACTTTTATAAAGTCTTATTCAATTATATTTAACCAGCCTTATTAACTTTTAATACAAAATTTATAAAAAGTTTATTAAGCTTTTAATTTGGGTTATATTAAATTTTAGTTCGCGGGTTCCGAGAAGCGGGGCCTCCACTGGCGGCCCTCCAGGCCGGCGATGCTCCAGATAAGGGCTTCCCATACAAAGCGGCGACAAGCTGGACAAGTTATTTGCAAATGAGCTCAAATTATGGAAACGAGGCTTTGGGTGGCTTGGCCATGGCCCGGGGGCAGCGGAGGGAGCGCCACACAGTGGGCCAGAAGACCAGTTGGGGGTGGACAATATTGTAGACGCGTTTTGAGCTCCAGAGTCGCCAAACACACTGCAGAAATTGGATGGAAAGACTTCGCGCCAAAATATGGCGAGACGTGTGACTCTCGACAGCAATCTTCCGTGCAGGTGCCAAAAGGTACGGGGAACATTCCATGGCAATGAACTTCAGCTACTTATAAGTCATCAACTTTCCACTTTTTAGAAAATTATTTAAGTGGTAAGTAGTTGCTGGACCCTCCTCGAAATATTTTCGGAACTGGCAGAGGGGGCGGATTGAACGAGGGGGTGTACGAACATCCCGAACGGATCCAGGGCAGGGGGTGCGGGGCGGGGGTTGTCCGACCTGGGTCGCCGTGACCAAGTGGCCAGCAGGCTGTTTCCGGGAGTCGTTTTCGTCGCTCCGTCCTTCTCGCACCGACACGCGACGCCCCGTGAGTGCGAGAGAGACAGAGCGACGAAATCGACTCGGAACCAGTCTGCTGCTGGCCATAAAACCGGCGCGATACGCCCGTTCGGGGCGGCCGAGCCAAGGCGGCCATGGGCGGCGCGCTCGGACAAGTCTCGGACAGTGGTCGCGGCGCTCGAATCGATTTCACGCGTCTGCTTGCTTTTGTACGGCTTTTCACTGAGTCTGCCATTGCCGGCCGGCTGAGGGGTGCTCCCGTCGCTGTCTCTCTCGCACTCACGGGGCGTTGCGTGGGCGTGCGAGAGGGAGAGAGAGAGAGAGAGAGAGAGCATTTGGGAACTGCAGGCTGCCTCTGGTGCGTCGAGGTGGCGGCGAGGGGAGGGGCATTGGGCCAAAATGGATTAGCAGGGATCTTTGTGAAACTCCATTAAAACGTGGTTAATGCCAAGGGGCCCGCGTGCTTCGTCGCTCTGTCTCTCTCGCGCCACAGCGGGACTCCCCGTGAGTGCGAGAGAGACAGAGCGACCAAAGTATACCACAGCCTGCGGAGCCGAGGCGCTTCAGCGTTCCGGGAAGTGTTTACTTGATTAACGCACGGCGACGCAGCACTGCGAGTTTGGCCGGCACACCGCGGCACGCTCGAGGGCGCCGGTAATCAGTGAATGCAGTGCGGTCCCGTCGCTCTGTCTCTCTCGCACCCTCACGGAGGGCACCATGAGTGCGACAGAGACGGAGCGACTCGGTGCGATTATGTGCAAGAGCGCTCCGCTGGCCCAACAGACGTGCCGACGGCCCGGGCCTTCATCCTTTCTTTGGCGATGAAAGCGGGATAAAGAGAATGGGGCGAAGTTGTTGTGACAAGTTCCACGTAGAAGTACGGCTGGCTGGGAACACTTTCGACGGCGGGTCCGATGGAAGAGAGCACAGTGGGCCAGAAGACCGGTGTGCAGGCGGTCAAAATTCCGCACGCGTTTTGAGCTCATGAGATGCTAAATGGGGGAGAGCGATCCATAGGTGGGATCACACGTTTGGTTCTAGCCCCAGTAAGCGACTCTGCGGCTCCAAACGCGTCCGGGATTGGGCTGCCTCCGCCGGTTTTCTGGGCCCCCTGTGGAGGGCCTGACGACAGAAGGCTCAGCCAAGTGCACTCTGAATTTGCACCTAGAATCTCCGTGAGTGTACCGTCCATTAGTGCAATGCGGTTGAACCAGTTTTCACAGCACTGGTGCGATGCTGTCATCCTTCAATCAAATTCAAGACGTTTGTGCGCATTAATAGAATTTTGTTGAGAAGCTTGATAGATTTGTCTAGACGAAATTGATATTTATGTTTGTAATACAAATAAACATGTTATAATACGCTTATTAGTCCGCACAGAGAGTGTTTTTGAATCCCAAGTGAAGTATCCTTAGCTCAGGTGCACAGCATTTTCGGGACGCATCGATCGTAAGGATAAGTTCATAGCGTTTTGATTCACTGTGTTGCAAATCGAACTACTGATGCCTCTGGCTCATCGATTCCCCATACAACGGTTTCCTACTCTGAAAGTATTCAAAGGGAAGTGACGACTGCAAATGACACTGGAAGGCGCCTGCGAGGTACGCAGCCGGTCCACGCGCCTGGGCGAAGGGTTGCCGAACCTGCAGGCGCGCTGCACTCTCAGCACGTCACTGACAGGCCGTAGACCGCAAATGATCCAATTCCATTTCTGCGCATAGTGGGCCAGAATACCGGTGGAGGAGGTGGCCAAAACTCTAGATGCGTTTTGAGGTACAGAGCTGCCAAACGCGAACCAAACGTGTGGCCCCACCAACGACAACGGGTCCCGTTAGGCGACTCTGAAGCTCAAAACGTGTCTAGAACTTTGGCCGCCTCTACTGGTTTTCTGGCCCACTGTGCAGCGCAGTCCTGGTGTTGAACTTGAGAGACGAGACCTGGCTAGATATAAAATTTTATGCAGAGGATCTTGTTTTCTTCTTATTTCAACTCATCCTGTGCTGCATCACATTTTTACACGCAACCGTTTACGAGGCACATACGCCCAAAACAGTGCGATAGCGAAACAACGCTCCGCTTCACAAAATACGCAATGTTACGCCTTAGTTTCACCTGTGAGGGCTCGAAAGTGGAGGAGGCAGAAGGACTCTTGCCCGCAGAGCTGCTGGCTTTCGGTATCAAACGCGGACCGGTGGCGCTCTCGGACGGCCGCAGTGGGATTTACAGGGAGTGGGGAAGCGTCGATACCCCTCGCAGTGAGAGACCTTGCGGGCGGGAGGCGCGGGCTGCTTTCAAATCATCACTTCGGTGCTCCTGCACGTGGGCTTCCAATTTTACGACCCTCACGCTTTAAATCTTACGAAGTATTTTGAGCATACGTAGTACAAAGGTAATTCACTTCGTTACACGAAAAAAAAGTTCCTAAAATACGAAGTATTTTCTTTGGTGTAAGCTTATGTGTGCTCAGAATACTTTACGGCACGGCAAATACAATGTCTGGGTTTCCCAGGCCCATTCTGGAAAAAGAGGTCATTTAACCAGGGTAGGCCTGGGAAATCAGGACACTGTTTTTGCCGCGAACAAGCTGCTTTTCTCTGTAGGGCCTAAAAGAGTTCGTAAGGTCATCACAGTGCTGGACAGCGTTCTGAGTAGAAAATCATTAAATTGTTCTTGAAGGAAGATTTTGCGTGTTTGGGACAAAGTGTTCTTTCCCAGCGGTTTGCACGCAAACGCAAACTGACGATCATTGGTCACGCGTTATTAGTGAAGACGAGATTTCCTCCTGCGGCCCACAACCTCTTGATAAACTCTCCAATCTTAGTGATAGAAAAAAGTACGGAAAATTCTGTTAACTTTTGGCCAAGCTTCTCTGCGGCCCTCTTGTCATCAGTCTCCGTAGGACTTCACAGTATTCTCTGTCTGACCTCAAGTCTTCTCCGTCGGACCTCACAGTTTTCTAGGAGCCTGCATGGTCTTGCGGCAAATATGGCAAGGTCCCGTCCCTATCAAGAATTTTAACGAGAGGGCTACGGAGAATTGCCTCAAGTTTGTTCACAGATTTTCCTCAGAGTTTTGCCACAGTGAGAAATTTCCATGTTTTCATTTACCATTGTTGCCTTTGACACGTCGCAGCGACACGTTGCCGTCATCATCGATTCGGTCGGGATGGTGTCGCCCGCGGGTTTTGGCAGTGCTTGGGCTGGCGTCCCCAATCCGCTGAGCCGCGCCTGCCTCGTAATCCGATGCAGGTTGACGTGTGTCGCGTTCGCACACCACCGACCCTGCAGGCCTCGCCACCGCCCGCGCGGCCCGGGAAGTCGCGCCGCGCGTGCGCGCACACCCTTCGCTCATCCATACTGGGAATCAAATACACTCTAAATATGGGGTGCCCAGAAACTGGGCGCCTTTGTCGCCTGCCCCACTTTTTAGGGTGCCAAATGTCGCCCAGTTCCTGGGCACCTTTGTCGCCCAGTCTCGGGGTGGACTAAATCATGCAGTAACCGGCCCTCTCCCATGGTAGAGCATGCACAGATGTCTAGTTCCTGGGCGACTAAGGTGCCCAGAGTCTGGGCACCTTTGGCACCTTAGTCGCTGCTGAGCCATGGGTGAAGACAGGTTCCCTAATGGTTTGCCCACCCCGAGACTAGGCGACAAAGGTGCCCAGAAACTGGGCGACATTTGGCACCCTAAAAAGTGGAGCAGGCGACAAAGGCGCCCAGTTTCTGGACACCCTACATTTAGAGTGTAGTCATGATCAATACCCTATTTTGGGCGAGGTATACTTTATCACCCAAATTTGATTTCAGGGAGAGTGGGTGGAACCAGTGGAGCTATTTAGAACGCTTTTTTTTTTTTTTTTTCAAAAAAGAATTGAAAGATGAGCTTATAGATGCAACTCGGGCCATACTTCATTACGCAAAAGTAAATCGTAAATCTTCCTCTACAAGATTTCATACGATTACACACATGCATATGAAAGGCAAGTAGTCATATCGTATGTACGGTTAGGAAGATACAGGCCACAGGGGCTCACTGGAAAAAGCTTGCATTTCAATTGTAGGAAACCAGCGAGCCATGCAGCCATTCGCTAAGTCCAACTCTCATGTCAAATGAAAAAAAAGTCACATAACAGTCGTGGACAGTGACATAGCCCAGGGTAACGGAGGTTATGCTGTTAAATTATGCGTGGCACACCCCAGTGGCAGCCCAGTTATTGTGGACACTTTGCAGTGTGTGCACTGAGAGACTGCACTCCCGGTAGAGGGCCGGGCCCCAGGTTGTGGTGGGCAGCGAGCTCGTTCCGAAGGATCGCTTCGTCGTCGCTCTGTCTCTCTCGCACTCATGGGGCGTCCCGCTCGGGTGCGAGAGAGACAGAGCGACGGAGACCGCGGGGCTTGTCGCCGCCCCGCCCGGGGTGGGCTCAGTGGTGCGGGGCCCTTCTCTAGCGGTGTTGGCATGTGTCAGTGGGGCTTCGTGGTCGATACGGGCGGACTGGGCTGGTCGCGGGCAGAGTCCTACAGCCGCGGGGACTGGGCCCCCGAATGGTCCGCAGGGGCTCACGGGGCCAGTAAACCGGTACCCAGCACACTTCCTTCGGTTGCGCGGCGCTTCTGCAGGGAATCTTATGGACAACCAGCATGGACGGTCGTCTGTCTTTTACATGGCCTTCCATACGGCTTTGTTAGGCTCACGGGGCTCATGTCGAGAGCACCCTCTCTCGTGTTAACGCGGTGTCAATTTGATGTCAACCACATCTTAAAATCAGTCCGGAGTATCGCGTAATCGGTCAAATTTCATTTGCCGTCCGCTGCTCCGGTTTTTTGCTGCATTTTTATCATGCGAGCTGTTGCACTCCTCTCCACCTTTTAATATGGGGGCCGAATGTATAAGCGTTGGCTTTTCTATCAATCGGTCAGTTTTGTAATGGTTTTGCATTGTAGAGTGATAGCCGGCCCGCCGCGCGCAGACGGTGCCCAGCAGGTGCCTACTCTACGGTCACCCCTTCGTCTCCCTGACCTCAGCAGACTAAGGCTTCACCCCCCTCCCCCACCCTCTCAGCCCTCGCGCCCTCAAATCCGCGTGCCTTGTGCTACTCTCGCGGCTCCTGGGGGAAGATGCCTTCCCGGCTACCTCGTCCGATCAAAAGTCCCGCGATGGATGGCGCTTGTTTATTATTCTGGGCTCCAATTAAAGTTCCCACATTACGAATAGGTAATGGCGCAGGCACAATACCAACCTCATTTTTGTTCGTATGACACTTGTTTTTGAACAAATTTTGAATGCGATGATCTATTTTGTTCTCGAGATTTTGCACGAAAATGGATAAAAGTGTTCAGTTTTTCTTACGCTAAGTGTACAAAAAATTCATCCACAAGAAATATACTCCAATATCTCCGACAAATTTTTACGCGATAGGGTTTGCCTTTGGGTGTTTCATCCCGATGTCGGTTTTTGGGTGTACCGGCCCGGCCACTTTCACACACACACACACACACTGAAAACGTAACGTTTTATTCAGTGCACACTATCGTAAGAAAAGTGTGCACTCAGTGCTCAAGTAGGTTAGCCAGGCGGGTACTAAGTGAAAGTAAACCTGTGCATACACAATTCGTTACTCAGCTCGTCCCAATAACCCTCGATGGTTACGAAATGCGCGACTCTGCCTGCCGTCTCCGGGAGAAAAGGGGGGGGGGGGTGAAGGTGGTCGCGGCCGCGCCCCGTCGGGTCAGTGTGTGGTGCGCTGCGGTGGTGGCTGGCCGGCCGCCTCCCTCCGCCGCGCCCCGCGCCTCACCTCGGACTGTAGGCCTTGCCAGCGGCCCCGCCGCCCAGTGAGGGCGGATCCGTGTGTCGAGCTAGGTCGGTGTGTTGCTGCGCAAGGTTAGGTTAGGTGCCTAATCCCGAGAGGTAGGCAATCGGGGGATGATCGCTGCAGCGAGCCGTGCTGCCCGTGGAGTGTGCACACTAAATGTTTTGTCCAATTTTGTACAAGACGCCGCAGTCTTTTTTTCGCGTGTCCCCGAATTTCATTTGTGCAGATGAACTTTTCGTTCGCTCTTCATACGACGATCTGCACATTTTACCCCAATTTTGAGTAAAATTGTGTACAAAATTCGAACGAGTTGTGCTATATGTACGAGTTACATCCGAAAAACTGCACATATTTTCCAATTTTTTGATTCATTTTGTACGAATTTGTACAAAAAGTTGATCTGCGCTAAAAAAAAAAAAAAACTGTGACGTCTCTGAACAAAATTTGTTCAAAATCATTTTGGTGTGTGACGGGCGCCTTCCCGCAGCGGCCGAGCCTTGAGTCACCATGGCGGGGTCCGGGCCGCCTGCGTCCGAGTTCAGCCTGTCGGCGCTGCCCGACCCCGGGGACCGCTTCATCCTGGGTGACGTCATCGGCAAGGGTCTGTCCGGGACCGTGTACGAAGCGCAGGACACGGAAGCAGGTGAGTTTGCTTGGCGTCTTGCGCCCTCCGAAGGTTCTGGATCAAAATTAATTCGAGAAAGAAAACACATATTCCGTGCTTAGTGGCGGCGAAGGTTTCCTGACCCTTTCATATCGGCCAGCCAATTCTTTTTTCCCAAGTTAAAAATATGGCAATACTACTGCTCTCCATGTACGCGTATTCATTATTTTTTCGCAAAGAAAATGCCCCAGCCAAGGGCGGTTGGTTTTGGTTTTGGACTTCGGTTTTGGACTTTGGTCTCTGATTTTTTTTCCAATGGGGTGTTGGTCCGTACTTTGTTCCGAGGTTGCTATTGTCCATCAGCCAGCGAACCTGATTCATTTTGACGTGCATTTTACTCAAGTTTTCGCCCTCACCCTCACTGTGTCACAACAGGACTCCTCTGTGAGCTTTTTTTTTTGTAGATTGTGTTTAGTGTCATGTTGTTTTCGTCGCTCTCTTTTGACTTTTGGCGTGCATTTTTTGTTTCGTTGTCCGAGGGACGTCGTCTAGTTAGTATTTCTTCGTAGCGGTTTTGTATTTTCTGCCGTGGTTTTGCTTAGGCTCGTTCGGTTTTGCGGGTCGGGACGGGACGACGACGTGGCAGCGCACCTTGTGGTGTTTCAGGTCGCAAGGTTGCCATCAAGGTGATCCCTGTGGCCTACTTCGCTGTGAGGACGGTTGAGCACGTCAGGCAGCAGAAGGCCAGGAAGCGTGAGTCCGGAGGCGCGTTCGTTTCGTAGACAACCATGTTTTCAATTTTATCCTGTTTGTTTTGCAAAAGAAAAAGAAACAATGTATTCTTTTCTTGACAGTGTTTTTTATGATAGAAATGGTAAAAGCATCGCAACGAAAGATGTACATTATAAATTTCTTACCCATTTAGGTCTGCGGAGTCACTGCGCAGTTACTCTGCGAAGTCAATTGATCAGACCCTCTAGGGAGTACATACTTCAGGGAGTGTGCTCGTGGGTACACTCTAAAGAGAGTGTATTGACTACGCTGTTGAGTTCGCCAAGCAGGCAGATACCCACTTTGAACTATAGTTGCATACAGCCCGCGATGACGTATTGAACGTTTGAATGGGTTCTAATGCAAAGAGGCCCTGCGGCAAAGCTGAGAGAAATTTTACATGCTGAACTTTAAACTTTTCCCAGTGAAAAATCAAATCTAAATGAACTTTTAGTTAACGTCAATGTTTGACTTCGATGGCTGAGTTTTCTTGGATATTCTAATCCGCGTGAAATACAATAGATGTACAGGTCCATGTCATGTTACGAGCCATGAGGTTCGCGACCTTATCGTAACATCACAGAACTCATCATGGTAAGAAATTTTAAATGGACATCAACTTGCACAGTTTGTCTGTGGGGTTATCCACATAGGTATTATGTCCTGAATGCACCAAATTAATCATCACATTTTGGGCTCTTGGGGCAACGACTTCGCTTTCTTAATGTTGGGAAATTATGAACCGACCAGTTATTTGCATCTCCTCTTTAAAAAGAAAATGAGGTCTCAGTTCTGTTAAACAATGACGCAGCAGTGCGTGGATCACCGCTAGTAAACAAACTGTGCAGTGAGGTTGCAGTATAAAGCGTTCGAAACCAGCAGTCGGGTGAGGCAGCGAGTAGGTGTCGTAGTTTTGACAGGACAAGTACGGAAAATTTGTGGTCAATAATTTCTCCGGAGCGTTCGCACTTCACGAACCACAAAAGTTCCGATCAGGTCCTCTTTACCTACACGAGGTGCTTCTATCACTATGATGAACCTGTTCGGAAGTTCCGTACTTTTCCCGTCATTTTCTGCATAATTTCGGTTCTGAAGCACAGAGGTTTATTTTTTCGTTTAGTTTTTTTTCGTTTTTGTTCTTTTGAGATTTTACAGTGAAGAACTCTCACTCGCCCCGAGCTTGCAGCAATCACCAACGGCCGCGCTTACTTCCGTCGCCTCTGCCGCCCTCCCCACCGTTCCGTGGCCGTTTTAAAGAGGGTTTGACGGCGTCCTCGTGTTCCAGGCAACATGAAGGTGGCGGTCAAGATCCTGCAGGTGGACGAGGACAAGCTGGACGACGCGCGCGAGGAGTACCACGTGCTGCGCGACCTGAGCGACCACCCGCACTTGCCCGACTTCTACGGCGCGTTCGCGCGGCGGGCGGACGACGGCGACCAGGTGTGGTTCGCCATGGAGCTGTGCGCCCACGGCCCCGTCACGGACCTGGTGCGCGGGCTGCTGGACCAGAACAAGAAGATGATCGAGGACCACATCGCGTACATCATCAAGTGCGCCATCAAGGTACTTACTCTCCTTTCATGCTACAGTGTAAAAAAAAAGTCCGTACTTTCACTGTGGCAAAAAGGTACGGAAAATTCAGTTAACTTTTTTGCCCGGATTCTCCGTAGCCCTCTTATCAATATTCTCCGTAGGGTCGTACACTGTTAAAAAAATTACTGAAAATTCATAATTTTTTGTAAGAAGTCGATTTACTTACATTCAGTCTGAATTTTCATACCAAAACTTTCATACTTCGCGGTCTGAAAGTTTCAGACGACGTTAGTCTGAATTTTCAGATCAACATGTTGTATGAAAAATGATACCAGTCGGTCTATTTTATCAGACTAAGTTGTACGAAGACATTGAACAGTCGCACTAAATAATGCCACTCTGTAGAGTAGAACTCAAATCGGCGAACTTTTGCCATCGGTTTATCGTAGACGCTCAACGGATCGTCTCAAAAATTAGGAACACGGCAGTAGACTCCTACTTGCAAAGGTAGTGAAGAGGCTAGAGGTGACTGCTGAATTGCGAGGGAGAGCGGCCTTAGCCCAACCACGCGCCGACCCGTGGCCATGCGCGAGAGTGAAATTGTAACAGTATTCTCCGTAGGACCGCAAGTCTTCTCCGTAGGGCCTGGAAGACTGTATAGTCCTACGGAGAACACTGTAAGGTCCTACGGAGTGCGGTCCTACGGAATATAAGAGCCTACGGAAAATATTGACAAGGGGGCTACGAAGAACTACCACAAGCTGTTTACAGAATTTTCCGTAGCTTTTTGCCGCAGTGTTTGTATGGAAAATGTTCCGACGAAAGTAGTACGGAGGTACGGAAAAAAAGTACGCAACGTCCGTACTTGTCCCATAACAACTCATGTAATTGGGTACGGAAAAATTGTACAGGCAAATTGTTGACCAGACATTTTCCGTACTTTTTCTGTACTTTTTTTCTCGCAGTGTGAGAAATGCCGTGCAGTGATAGTACTAAGTCAAAACTCTGCTGCACTTTACCATCAATCTAAGAAAGAAATCAATGCAAATTTGTGCTACCAGTCACCAGTCATTTTTTTTTTCAAAGTGTTACGCAACTGATACAAAATTTCGTAACACACTTCACGGGTAGCTGTATCGCGTTTGCTAAACTTACAAGCTCGTGCCGCTTGCTGCAGGCCCTGGTGCACCTCCACGAGCACCACGTCATGCACCGGGACGTGCGCGGCAGCAACATACTCCTCAACGCCAACGGCGAAGTCAAGCTGGTGGACTACGGCCTGTCAAGGTATGCATTTTGGACGAGTATGCTTGTATCATTAGTATCATTTTATAGATACACATTTTTATTTAAAAAATTTTGGTATTTTGTTTTTGAAAGTTTAAAGTAGTTACTGTAAATCTGGAACAAGTGTTGAGAATTTTTCAAGTTTCGCAAAAATGATTTATCAAAATTTGTCCTCTGAAGAAGGATTGTAGTCGGGTACTTTTCTACCTCAGCGGTGAAGTGTCCCACGAACTGTGATTCGTGTTACGTCATTTGTGGTGCAAATTCCATTCCAGAGAGCTGGACAGTACGATGGGACGCCGGTCGTCCTGCCTTGGGTCCCCAGCCTGGCTCGCCCCCGAGGTGGTGTCGTGCTCCAACACGCACAAGGAGGACAGTGACGGCTACGACAACAAGTGCGACGTTTGGTCTATCGGTTCGTTCAAAGAGACTTAAATGTCTTCCACTATTACGAAACATCTTTTGGAAATTTTTAGAGACTTTGTTGGGAAAATTCTCTTGGAAAAATTTTAAAGTCTCTCCTGATTCTACTCTGCGTAAATATCTCGCAGGTTTATAGCACGCCAATGCACTCTTAACACATTACGAAGTATTTTGAGCATACATATAACAAACTAAAATACTTTGTTATACGAAGAAATAGTTCGTAAATTACGAAGTATTTTCTTTGTAAGCCTCGGTATGCTCAAAATACTTTGTTCAAAGGGGCTTCGGAATGTATTTTCCGGGATCTTTCGTCACGGCGTTCTTGTTCTGATTGATTGTTTTGCTGCAGGCATGACCGCCATCGAGCTGGGCGACGGCAAGGCCCCGCTCCAGGACATGCACCCGACCCGGGCCTTGTTCCAGATCCTGCGAAACCCTCCGCCCAACCTGTACCGCCCCGCCAACTGGACGCAGCTTTACAATGACTTCATCGCCGAGTGAGTTGAGGTGTCGCAGCTGCACTGCAAGAAAAAACCACAACAAAAGTACACCAATTCCTGGCAAATTATTTTTAATCAGGAATAAGGAAAGCTTTCAAACAGGGATCCTTAACTTAACATATAACCAACACTGCTTTCATAACGTAACATAAGACAATGTTCGCTTAAGGTTAAGGGTACGGACTTATGAAAGTACTTGCAAAAGTATATCCACACAAATTCGAGACATAAAAAAATAGCCTACCCTTTTGGAAAGATGTTAGAAGTTAAGGGTTATAACTTTAACTCTTATGATAACGTTATGATGATGCCTTTATGAGGTAAGTTAAGGATCCCTGCTTTCAAAGTACAACAATTGTTATAATTGTTGCTCGTTGTACTTTATGCTATCCCTGTTGTGCTTTTATTGTACAGTTTTTGTTGTACTTTCGTTGTACTATTCATACTTTTTCTTGCAGTGTGTCTCTTATTTGCATGCGGTTGGTGTTGGACTGAGCACAGAGGGTCCAGAATCAACTGAAAGGAGTTAAAAATTGGTACTGATCATTGTCCAATTTGCAGGTGCCTGGAGAAGAACCCCGAGAACAGACCTTTTATGGCGGAATTAATGGAGCACCCCTTCATCACGGCACTGCCCGACAGCGACGACCACGTAAGTGTTCCTCGCGGGACTTGAAAATTACATTTGAAGCCAGTCAAACTGAATACATACTTGAAACTGCGGCTTTGGTCAACTGGCTATGCGTTGACAGTTCCAGACCGAGTTGAAGATGATCGCCCAGTCCGTGTCTCCGACCATGCGGGACAGGCGGTTCGACGAGGTGCTCGTTCGAGACGGCTTCATAAGGGTAAGGGACAGAGTATTTTGACCCCACATCTTCATGCCTTTTTTTAAACGTCGGCGCACTGTTAAAAAAATCTGAAAATTCAGACGACTTTTTTCAAACTTGACGTTTTGAAACCCCAATTAACTTCAAAACGCTTGTCTGAAATGCCAGACAGGGCAGTCTGAGACCGTGAGACCGTACCCAGTCTGAAATTTCATTATAAGTGAAGTCTTCAGATCCAGATTAGGCGAAGCACTATTTTGCACATGCGTGAACTCCTGCGGTAGCAAGGAAACTTGCCCATGGATCTGGTGGTGTAAACAAGTCCTCTGTCTTGCTTATTCCGCGCAGAAAGACCAGACGGACGCCGTGGACCCCATGGTGGTGGAGGACCTGGCCGCCATGGAGGTGCTGTCGGACGAGACTATCACGCGCGAGCTGGAGGAGCGCTACCGGAAGGGCTTCTACCACACGTTCGTCGGCGACGTGCTGGTCGTGCTGAACCCCAACATGGAGGTGCCCAACATGTACGGCAAGCAGCGGCAGTGCAAGTACCAGTTCAAGTCGCGGTCCGACAACCAGCCGCACGTGTACGCCGTGGCGGACTCGGCGTACCAGGACGTGTTCCACAACGAGGAGCCGCAGCGCATCATCCTGGCCGGCGAGACCATGTCGGGCAAGACGACCAACTTCAAGCACATGCTGTCCCACCTGCTGTTCCTCGGCAAGGTGGGTCGGCTCGGCTTTCCACCATGTTTTTGGCATTTTTGGGGGCATTTTTGGCTGTTTTTGCGGGGTTTAGACTCCCTTTTAGGCGCGTATCTATGGCGCAGTGGGCTAGAAGACCCGTGGAGGCGGTCAAGATCCCAGACAGGTTCTGAGCTCCAGAGTCGCTGAAAAGGACTCGAACCGAATGTGTGACCCCACCAATAGATTGCTTTCCGAACGAGGAATCCATCAATCTATTGGTGGGATCACACGTTCGGTTCGAGTCCTTTTTAGCGACTCTGGAGCTCTAAACGCTTCTAGAGCTTTGGACGCCTGTGCCGGCCTTCTGGCCCACTGTGGGGGTCAGCTTTCTGTCACTATATTGCAGATGGAAGCACTCTTTAAAGCCTACGAAGCATTTGCTTCATGACTACTAAGAAAATGAAGGCGTTGTAGTATTGCTTCGTAATATGATGAAATGCTTCGTATAACGAAGGAATTTTCTTCATGCCTTCATTTTCTTCGTACTACAGAGCGATTCTTCGTAGGGTTTTTACTGTGAGGCCTCAAGTGTTATTTTCCGCCTGGAGACCGTGCGTCTCCCATGTGTGTTTGACGTTGGTGTCTCGGTGGCAGAGCGGCAACGGCGCCTCGGAGCGCGTGGAGAAGGCGGTGAGCGTGGTGCAGGCGCTGGGCAACGCGGCCACGCCCCTCAACCCCAGCTCGACGCGACACGTGCACCACCTGGAGGTGACGTTCACGGCCACGGGCAAGGCCAGCGGCGCCATCATCTGGCTGTACCAGCTGGAGAAGTGGCGCGTCACCACCGAGTGGTACGCAATTTCGCACGAACAGCGTACTCCAATGAATCTCGAAACGGAAGAAGAAGAACAAAAGTTAACCCCAATAAAAGGCTTCTGCGCATGCGCAGATGTTCCCCAACCACCCGGTGTACATGCGCAGGAGCTGTTTTTATGGCCTCCTTTTGTTCTTCTTCTACCGTTTCAAGATTCATTGGAGTACCCTTACTGTTTCGCTTCAGCGTAACACAGTTGTCGTTCATTCTGCGTAAACAATTCTGGTGTATTTTAAATTGACCTTTTCAGTTGTCGCTAAGGGAAGAACGAAAGTAATCAAATAGCCAGGGACCGGAAGGAACGTTCGTACTGGTTCCTGGCCTTTGGATTACTTCCGATCTTCAATCGGCGACGACTGAAAGGGTCTCTTAGTCTAAAATTCTGCGTAACAATTTAGGCCTAAGATCAGCGGAGCAAAGCAACTTTGTCTCAGATTCTGCGTAACAATTTTGACTTAGATTCTGCGCAGCAAAATTTTTCTTAGATTCTGCTTGCGCAACAAATCTGTCCTAGGTCGTACTGCAATGGTTCAGTTATGGTGCCCTTCGGTAAAGTTCATTGTACACCAATGGTAGAATGGGACACTTTTTTAATCTTAGATTCCGCGTAAAAAATTGTCTTGGATTCAGCGTAACAAATTTGTCTTAGATTCTGCATATCGATTTTGACTTAGATTTTGCATACGAAATTTGTCTCAGATTCCATGTAAAAAGATTGTCTTAAGTTCTGCTTAGTGCCAATTTTGTCGTTCTACATACCGAATTTGTCTTAGATTCTGCGTAACAAATTCATCCTAAGTGTCACATGCCCTTAACTGTTCGGAGCAGGTGACAAATAATTCAAATTTGGCACCAGTTCTTCGTGATGTCACCAACGAAATGTGTTTTGTGCAGCCAGAAGGGCAACGCCAACTTCCACGTGTTCTACTACTTCTACGACGCCATGGCCGCCTCCAGTTCACTGGACCGCTACCACCTGGAGCCCGGTCGCGGTTATCGCTATCTGCGAGCCAGGTTCGAAAATTCCAAAGCTCCCCCTTCCTTCACTGCAAAATATTCCGTAGTTTTGTACGGAAAATGTACAGACGAAAATGGTACGGAAGTACGGGAAAAAGTACGGAACGTTCGTATTGTCCCATAAGAACTTTTGTAGGCGGCTGCGGAAAAAAAAGTACAGAAGTTCCGTAGTAGGACATGTAGGGACGGTCCAGTCTAATTATTGACCAGGCATGTTCCGTACATTTTCCGTGCTTTTTTCTCGCAGTGTTCCGCGGTTATAATTAAAATTTGTTGGGTTGCGCGACCATTTTTGAGAGTGGCCTTTCTTGTTGTTACAGTGGCGAGACGTGCAGCGACAAGGACCCCCGCAACACGCCGGACAACAACGTGGCGCGCTACGAGAAGCTGCGCCAGTTCCTGATTGACCTGGACTTCGACGAGGAGCAGCGGGAGACGCTGTGGAGGACGCTCGCCGCCATCCTCATCCTGGGCGAAGTCACCTTCGTCGAAAACGAGGACAACTTCGCCGACGTGGAGAACACGGACGTGGCCAACAAAGGTGCACCTTTCACACTAAAAATTCCTCGCGAAAGTGTTTATCCGACCACAAACACTCTTTCGAACTTTTTTTGACGCATTGCGAACTATTACCTGGCCACGTTACAAACCATTTCTTTGCAATGTAATGAAATTTTTGCTTCGTGACGATCGAAGTACTTAGTATTTTGCAATGCGAAGAAGAAAGTTCGCCAAGGTGTTCGTAACTTAAACCCGGAAAATACTTAGTCCTGCTAGGTCCTTTTCTTTTCTTCCTTTTTTTTCGTGTTTTTTTCTTTCTTTTTTTTGCAAGGAAACGTCCGTTTGGTTGTTGATACAAAGCCGTCTTAAATTTTGCACCCCTCTCTCTCCTTCTCCGCAGTGGCCGACCTGCTCTGCGTGGAGGACAAGAAGTTCGTGTGGGCGCTGACCAACTACTGCGTGATCCACAAGGGCACGGCCGAGCGCCGGCGCCACACGCGCGAGGAGGCGGTGCAGGCACGCGACGTGATGGCGCGCGCGCTCTACTCGCGCCTCGTGGACTGGATGGTCAACACCATCAACTTCAAGCTGTCGTACAACAGGGCCATCTTGTACGTTTCGCTGCAATACGCGGCAAAAACGGAACCTGGTTTTGCCAGGAAGCCCATGGTGGAGACATAGGCGATTTCCATGCAATTCCTAGAAATACCAGGTTTCGTTTTCACCGTGTAGGGCCAAAAAAGGGGGATTTTTAAAGTCAAATTTTGAAACAATTTACATACTAACATGGCCATACCTTTGTGTGGCAATTTTCATAGCTTGCTGGTCTTAAAGTCATCGTTAAAAAAATCTCGAAGAACACACTTTATGTTTGGGCAGAATATTGTACGTGCCGCAACTTGCACGATTTTGTGCATACTTGGAATTTGCATAATATCATGCGTAAATATGCATAAATTGATGCAAGTTCACGCACAATTTTATGCACGACGGTACACAAGTTTAAAATTATGCATCACCACGTGCAAAATTGTACATAAACATTTAGTGTGAATATCGGCGGATTGAAAAATATATTTTTCCCTTCCTCCAGTGGCGACAAGCACGTGGTGAGTATCACGGACATGTTCGGCTTCGAGTGCCACCAGCAGAAGAATACCCTGGAGACCCTCTTCATCAACACCCTCAACGAGCAGATGACCTACCACTACGGCCAGCGGTCGTTCGCCTGGGAAATGGTAAGTGTCTTCGACCAGAACACCTCCCTTGATTGTTTCATTCGCATTGAATGACACTCTCAGACCGATATGGACTTTTTTATCTCTTGCCTATAGCGCTTTTTGAGCAAACGTGGTTAAATGTACTATTTTCTCTTTGACTATGCACAATTTTGATTGTCATTAGATCATGTAGAAATTAAAAAGTACATTGTAAACGACAAAAAGTCAGGTTTAATGGCCTAAATACATTAAAAATTGAACAAAATAGTGCATAGCTAAAGAGAAAATAGTGAATATTACATTTGCACTAAAAACTTTTTGGCAAGAGTTAAAAAGTCAGTACGAGACGAAGAACGTACATCTCCCCGTGTTGCTGGGAAACGGAAGTCCGGTGGGCGTACCTTGAGTCAAGTTGTTAATTTTCACGTACCGCCTGTTGCAGCAAGAGCAAGAGGAGGAGGAGATCCCGCTGCAGCCGCTGCAGTACTACAACAACAAGGGCACGGTGGACGAGCTGATGCTCAAGCCGGACGGCCTGCTGTACCTGCTGGACGACGCGAGCCGCAACGGCCACGGCCCGGACTTCATCCTCGGTGGGTTCGCGGCGCAGCAATGGTGTTCGATGGGGTGCACACTAAATGTTTATGTACAATAGGGTACTTCGGAGAAAACCTAGACCGGAAGTCAGCGACAGAACGGGAGAAACAAAAGAGCGTCGTCAGACCGTGCTGAGCGGTGGTGGGGGTCGAAATCGGCGGGGTGGGGACAGCATGCGCGCGCCGCCTTCACCCCCACTCCGCCGATTTCGACCCCCACTACCGCTCAGCACAGCCTCCCGACGCTCTTTTGTTTCTCCCGTTCTGTTGCTGACTTCCGGTCTGGGTTTTCTCCGAAGTACCCTATTACGTGCGTGGTGATGTATGATTTTAAACCTGTGTTTCGTCGTGCCTAAAATTGTGCGTGAGTTTGCATAAATAAATTTATGCATTTTTACGCATGATATCATGCAAATTCCACGTATGCATGCACAAAATCGTGCAAGTTGCACGTACAAAATTCTACCTAAACATTTAGTGTGTAAACACTCGCGTAATACCCTGTTCATGAAAACCGTATATTACGCGTTATACACGTGAACGTAATGCCATTTTTGGTTCAAATGTACCAAATTTTGGCATTTCAGTGCTGTAGTACACGTTTAATGACCCCGTAATACATCGTAATACCGAAGTCTGTACACGATTTCTTGAAGTGTTTATCCCCTCGATGGTGTTCGTATGCTTTTCAAACCCAATCAAACCAAGGCACATTTGTTTCGATGTCAAAACGAGTACCTAACAAAAGTGTCAAAATTTAGAAATTGAATTGTTTTTGACCAGTACAGCATAAAAGCGCTACTTCTGTGAGAAGACTATTCCTATTTCCCTAACAATTTACTGGCAATTTTTGCCTTTCCTTCTTTTGTGCATTTATTGATTGTTCCCGACGGTTTAAATACTTTTTGCGTCAGTAATTAACACTTAAAGGTGCGAGATCACCCCCCAGGAGGTGCAGCGTTGGGGCCGCGCGGAGTATAGCCGGGGCTGTTTTGGTCAATACTCCCATGCGGGGGGTGAATCAGTAGTGTACTCATGTGTACAAATTTGCACGTACTCAGTTAACTCACAAGTTTTGAAAAGGCGAAATTCTCTATTTTTTGAGCGATTTAACGTCGAGTGCCGTTAAAAACACTAAGTAAGCCTTTAAACGATCAAAATTATGAAATTTGTGAGCAAAGCAAGGTGTACTCACCCGTACTCAGGTACTCGTGTGTACACCAGAACGCTGAGTGATTCACCCCTCGACTCCCATGTCGTTAAAATTGTGTAGTCATTTTTCAAATTTTTTTAAAGTATGCGTCATTAGTTACCTGCCTAAACATTGCAGAGTCGCTCCGCAACGAGCCGCGCGGGCCGCGCATCATGGCGGGCGACTCGAACTTCGTGGTGGCGCACTACACGGGCAAGGTGACGTACGACGTGCGCGCCATGTCGGCCAAGAACAGGGACTTCCTGCCGCCCGAAATGATCGAGACGCTGCGCCAGTCCAACGACGTCAACATCAAGCACATGTTCACCGGGCAGCTGTCCAAGTCCGGCAACCTGACGGCGCCGTCGCCGCCCGCCGGCGTCAGCAGGCCCGCCAAGGAGGGCCCCAAGAAGACGCGCTGGGGCGCGGCGCTCATTGCGGAGACGGGCAAGTGCAGGGTGAGTAACCAGCGAGTAGATGGTGGGGCGAGACTCCGACCAGCCACTCGCCACACCGCCTACTTACTGCACAGTGGGCCAGAAGACCGGTGGAGGCCGAGGGGTCGGCAACTCATATATTACTTCGTACGCGGTGGCTATATTACCCGTATATTACCTGTACATTACCATATATTACTTGCATATTACCACAATTTCGCCTCTATAATACCCCTATATTACTATATATTACTTTGTATTACTTTATATTACACATTACCTATATTACTGGTAATATACGTATACTCCCTCGTACACGGCTAAGGGAAGTTGCCGACCCCTCGGTGGAGGCGGTAAAAGCCCGGACGGCGTTTTGAGCTGCAGATTCGTCAAATGGGACTCGAATCAAACGTGTGACCCCATCAGCGGGTTCCTCGTTCGGAGAGCAATCCATTGGTGGGGTCAGTCGTTCGGTTTGAGTCCCATTTGGCGGCTCTGGAGCCCAAAACGCGTCTAGAATTTCAGCCGCTTCCTCCGGTTTTCTGGCCCACTGTGCAGTGAGTAGGCGGTGTGGCGACACCTCGACCGGCGCGGCACCATAGCGGCCTCGCGCCACATGCGCGGCCGCGTTTGAAACTCCCGCGCGGCTCCGCGGCCGGCGATACCCCGCGCAGCCAGCGCGACGGCGATACTCCGCGCGGAGCGCAGCGCCGCGGCCCGCAGTCTCTGTCAGCGCGGGGTACTCCGGCCGCGAGGCGGCGCGACGCGTTAGAACGCGGCAAGTGCACGTAGGCGTGACTACAACGGGTCAGTTTCGTTTGGAGATCGCTTTTGACAGTCCAGTGAATTAAAAATTTTCGTTTTTCAAGTTTCGGCTGGAGAAGTCGCGTGTTGGACTGCCAAAATCTGTGATGTTCAATAAATTATGTGAGCATTTGACAAGTTTGAAGTTTGATGAACCTTGAAATAGGCGTTCATCGTTGTCATTGAACGCGTGAAGATGGGTGAAAGGGTCAAGTAATACAAGAGGGAGGACACTTATGTAAAATCTGTGGAAAAATTTTTTCTTGAAATTTTAAAATGCGTGGGCTGGTGGGCGTAAAGAGTGGCGTGATTTTTTACTGCGTGTCTTGTACCGAGCGCGTTTCGTGGACAGACACGCTCATTTCACCGCTTGAATCAACCTGCAAATGACCCAGACACTCGGACGTTTCGTGAACAGACACGCTCACTTCACCGCTTGAATCAACCTGCAAATGACCCTGACACTCGGATTCCATGTGGTGACATGCATGCGTAGCCGCGGCGGTGACCTGAGCGCGAAAAAAGTCTCGTGCCCCCAGAGAGAATCGAACTCTCGACCCCTAGTTTACGAGACTAGTGCTCTAACCACTGAGCTATGGAGGCGCTGAGAGGGGGAGCCGCGAGGCGCGCCATACAATCGTGCGCTGCAGTGTGCGGCGGCTTCCCCCACCAACTGTTTCCTTTCCACGGCCTGCAGTGGGCCGCTGTGTACGCGCCGTACCGCCGTACAGTTTACAGGACAGTGAGAGGAACGGGGGAATCACGACGGGAAGGCTCGGCGGTCCTGGCTTGCGCGGTCGCGGGAAGCCATTCGCAGTGGCGCATCCCGCGTCGACGCGTCACGCTATCAGAATCTTTGCGAAAAGTTGAGAAGTTAAACATCTTGCGAACAATGTGTTTGCAAGGGCCTCTCGTCACGGCGGCAGGTTGCGCTTACATTGAATCGAGGAAGTATTTGCCTTTCAGAAACGCCAAAAATCGTTGTATTTTGAACGGATACGGAAATTTAGCAATTTTGAGGAAGGTTAAACACTTCCCTCTTTTGCATCCAAGTCCGTGACATGTATTGATGTTGTTTAATATTGTCTTGTTGTCGATGAGAATCCATTTTTGCGGAGCAAATTGGACGCTTGAAAAATTTTACCGCAAGTTCCTAGAGCCGTCTTACTAATAGACGCAACCTCCTGGGAAAAGCAGATTTGACATTCGCCGTGCACCAACGACGATAAATACGCTCAACTTTTCGCGCCACTGCAATGAATGAATGAATGAATGAATGAATGAATGAATGAATGAATGAATGAATGAATGAATGAATGGAATAATTTAATGGAGCCTGATGGTGCTGTTCCACAGCGCGTGTGCGATCTAAGTGAACGGCGAACAAGCACAACACCCATCAAAATAAAGCGTCCTGTGCAGCCGCTATACTCAAAATTTCACGGACAGTTATGTCGAAGGGACGTTACTGTTCTGTAAGAAAGATCGATCTTTGCGTGTGATTGTCGTACGAAAAGCTATACATAGTCATCCTGAATCGCGCGCAAATCTGCGCGGAAAGTTCATCCGCCCCGAAAACCGGTGACGTCTCGTTCAAAATTTAAACAAACATGTGAAAGTGAGTAACTGGTTGCTTGCAAACGGCGCTTTCGTCGTTCTGTCTCTGTCCCTCTCGCACTCACGGGGCCGTTCGGGAGGACTGCGGGAGAAGCACAGCGACCGAGTGCTATTCGGCGTCAGCCAGCAGACTGCTTCCGAGAGTCGTCGTTGTCGCTCTGTCTCTCTCGCACTCACGGGGCGTCCCGTACGTGCGCGAGAGGGACAGAGCGACGGAAACGATTCTCGGGAATCAGCCTGCTGCGCAGTGGAGGTGGGCGGCGGCGATTCGGGTCGCTTTGGGGCACACGCCGGAACACTCTGGCGCACGGTTAGTTTCAGGTGCCTCAATTCATTCCACTGCCATTCCAGCCTCCTGTATCGGATAGTAGGAGGCCAAAGCCGTACAACGGCCCCGATTGCCGTTTGCCGGGAGGGCAGTGACGTGGCAGTGGCGTGGCAGTGCCGCGCCGTGTTGTGCCTTTGTGGAGAGGCCGTGGGATAGTTGCCAGTTGCTTTACAAGGGCTTGGGCTGCAGAAGGGGTCCGGAGACAGAGAGAGAGAGGGAGAGAGAGGGAGAGAGAGAGAGGTGGCCCAGGACTACTAGACTCAACACGGATCTTGTCAAGAAGTTTTGCTCGGGCTGCTCCACACGGCCGTATACCGAGCGCTTGTGTGGACGTGGCGGGGCGGTCGGGTCGTCGGCTGCACACACAGTGCAGACACAGTGCCCTCGGGGATTGGCTGATGTTGGCAATGATGTTGCCTACTTCGCAGGCGGCGGCGCCGGACCCCTACTCCTCTCTCTCTCTCTCTCTCTCTCTCTCTCTCTCTCTCTCTCTCTCTCTCTCTCTCTCTCTCTCTCTCTCTCTCTCTCTCTCTCGTGCCGCATGTTTGTTCAGACCTGTCCTCCACACGACCTTTCACCCATACCCCCTTCTCCACAATCCCCCATGCATACGCCCCGCGCGCTCTGGCCCAAGGGCAGAATCTCAAACACCGTATATTGCTGATAATAGGGATAAGTTTGTCTTGACTTCGAGCTGTCCCTCCAACAGCTATTTTAACTTTACATGAAAACCTGAGTGTGAAATCCCTGTCAAATCGGATGTCGAGATGCCCAGAGTACTTTTCTTTACCCTAAATACTTTTCTTCCCCGACTTACCCATGTTTCGCCTCTCGTCTGTTGCGAATAAAGTAACATCAGTCAAATGCTTTTGGGCATAAAGCATGTTCGGATATGTCGGCTTGTCCGGGAAGCATGAGAATCATGGTTGTTTGAATATGATCGCAACTTAGTTTAATCGCGACACACCCGTCTGACTAGATTGTTTGAATAACGTGGGTTGAAATTGGCGGCACTCTGACCGCGGCTCCGAGTCTAGGAGCCCACGTCCCACCTGGTGTGTGTGTGTGTGTGTGTGTGTGTGTGTCTGTGTGTCTGTGTGTGTGTGTGTGTGTGTGTGTGTGTGCGCGCGCGCGCTGCCGGATTATTGGCCAGGGCACGAGCTAAAGTGGAGTTTAGTGTTTCGAGTGTACTGTACAGGCATTTGTTCGGCGCGTAGCTCAGTCGTGACAATTTAGCGCCCCCCTCCCCCTCTTCGCTGTTCCCCCTCGCGGGCTAACACTCTGTCCACCAATATGAAAATATCGGTTTTCACTTTCCGCCCGCTCACCGAGGGTATGGGGATGGCATTAGTTGGGGCGGCGCCTCCTGGGAACACTGTGTGTGTGTGTGTGTGTGTGTGTGTGTTAGAGAGGGGAGAGAAGGGAGAGAGAGAGAGAGAGAGAGAGAGAGAGCGGGAGAGAGAGAGGGAGAGGAGGGCAGTATGTGTGGGGATAGGGGAAAAAAGGGGGGGGACAGGGAGGTTGCGACCCTTCTCAGGAAGTCGCCCGGTACATGAAGCTAATTCATCGGAATTTCACGGCAATAACCTCGAAATACTTTGTCCGACAGTTTCCAGAGAGCAAGGTAGAAATCACGTCGCGTCTTTGCCTTTGCCCTCCTGTTTGTATTTAGGAGCCCTTGCAAACACATTGTTCGCAAGATTACGAATTACTCAATCGTTATTGCAATCAAGCCAATAATTCAAGCCAAACTTCAAACCTAAAAGTTCGTAATGCGAACATATTTTTCGCAAAGGTTCCGATAGCGTGAGGCCATTGGGAAATTCAACTCCTCCAAGAACTACCATAGTCATTCGCCAGTGATTAACTTCACTGTCAGACCTATGTGGAGTTTTTTTCTCTCTGGCTTATAACGCTTTTCGAGCAAACGTAAAATGTGCAATTTCCTCTCTAACTATGCACAATTTTGATCATTTTACATATAAAAGTGTCAATAGATAACGTAGAAATTGAAAAGTACAATGAACAAAACAGTGCATGGCTAAAGAGAAAATCGAGGGGCAAACAACTTCGTGAAAATTTGTACACCGTTATTTCATTGTTACTCCAACTTTATTTCAAGGTTATTTCCACGTTATTTCGCGTTATTTCACGTTATTTCGCGTTACTTCACCGTTATTTCATCGTTATTTCAACATTATTTCACGTTATTTCAAAGAAAATGTACACCTAAATTCAAGTTGTTTGCCCCTCGGTGAAATTAGTACATATTACGTTTGCACATAAAGCTTTTTAGCCAGAGATGAAAAGGCAATACGAGACTGAGAGTGTTTGACTTTTTTTTCCAGCACTACAACACCGAGTCCCGCGGCCAGTACTCGCAGACGCGCCGCATGCGCACCGCCGCCGCCACCTTCCGCGGGGCCTGCTTGGAGGTGCTGCGGGCACTGGCCTTCGGCCCGGGCTGCGGGGGCACGCACTTCGTCAGGTACGGCCAGCTCTCTGTATGCTCACTATGTTCATTCATTTTCAAATTATTTTCGCCATATTTGTGCTAAGCCATGTACATTTTACTACATAGATTGCGGTCGATAATTCTGTACTCTTTGAGAAGATTGAAAATTTTGTACATGCACCTACACATTTACGTCACCAAGCCCATCAGCATTTAGTGTGAACCAGCAGTGGGGCAGAAGACCGGTGGGGGCGGCCGAAATTCTAGACGCGTTCTGATCTGCAGAGTCGCTACACGGTAAAAGCTGTACCTGCTTTTTCAGGAAGCCAATGGTGAAGGTATAGGCGATTTCCAGGAAGTTCCTAGGAAAACCAGGAACCGTTTTTAACATGTAAATGCGACTCGACTCGAACGTGTGACCCTATCAATGGATTACTCTCCTTACGAGGAATCTGTTGGTGGGGTCACACGTTCGGTTCGAGTCTCATTTGGTGACTACACGGCAGAAACGGTACCTGATTTTCCCAGGAAGCCTATGGTAAAGACATAGGCGATTTCCAGGGGGTTCCTGGGAAAACCAGGTACCGTTTTTACCGTGTATGCTGTCTCATGTTGCGCAGGTGCGTCCGCACGGACATGACGAACCAGCCCAGGGCGTTCCAGCCTGACTTGGTGCGCCACCAGCTCCGCGCCCTGGCCGTCTTGGACACGGCCCGCGCGCGCCAGAAGGGCTACTCCACGAGAGTGCCCTTCGAGGAGTTCCTCCGGAGGCAAGTACACTGCAGTAAATTTTGCGAAGGGTTTTTCTTTTTTGACATAGAGGGTACCGTAGGCCGGGGTAATATGAGACGCATGATTTTTATCGTTAGAATAACAATGCTCGTGGCATTTGATGACTTATCCCTGTCAAACTTCACGGTGAAAGATGTTACCAACAAAGAGTAATTAATTTTTTAGAGCAGTGGCTCTCTTTGTGGCCGAATAGCGAGCTCAGATTGAATCTTACGCAAACCAAACTCCGTCTCATATTACCCCGGCTTACGGTACGACAACTATGTAAACAATACACTCTCGCGGGACTACAATACTTTGTTTCCATAAGTCGGGGAAAAATAAGTGACGGTGAAATCAGGAAAATGTCAGGGAATTTTACAAACTGCGGCAAAATGTCAGGGAAAAATAAATGCATGATTAAAATGACCGTGAGACATAGATTCAGCACGTTTTTCCGATTATCCTGCTTTATTATTAAAACGCTAAATATATGTTTTATTCCACTAAGATGTCAAGGAAATCTGCTTTTTTGTGTCAGGGAAATGGGAGAAAAGTCAGGAAAAATTCGATGTCAAGTTCTATATAAACATATAAACCCTGGATTAAACCTTTCCCCTCCGCTGCTGTCGCTGTCCAGGTACAAGTTCCTGGCGTTCGACTTTGACGAGAACGTGGACATCACCAAGGACAACTGCCGCCTGCTGCTGATCCGCCTCAAGATGGAGGGCTGGGTGCTGGGCAAGACCAAGGTGTTCCTCAAGTACTACCACGAGGAGTACCTCTCCAGGCAAGTGCAACCTGTCGCGTTTGATGTTGTGGTGAAGATAGGCCTAGCGAGGGGTGAATAACTCAGCGTCTTAGTGTACACATGAGTACATGAGAACGGGTGAGTACACCTTGTTTTACTCATAAATTTCACATTTGGAAACATTATAAGGCTTTATTTAGCGTTTTAAACGGCACTCAACGCCAAATCGATCGCAAAACTAGTGATTTTCGCCCTTTTTGAACTTGTGAGTACACTGAGTACGGGCAAATTTGTACACATGAGTACACTAGTGATTCACCCCTCGAGGCCTAGGGGGTAGTATGGTGATTATTGTGCTAGAGAGACGGGGAAGGGGGGTGCGAGTATGAGAGGGATCGAAAGTGATAATTTTGTGTGAGAGAGAAAGAGAGAGTGAGTGGGAAAGAGAGTGAAAGAGGGAGAGTAAGAGAGTGAAAGAGGGAGAGTGAGAAAGTGAGAAAGTCGGAGTGGGAGAGAGAGAGAGAGTGCGCGCCCGCGCGTGTGTGTCTGTCTGTGGTCACCTTGACGGTTCGCTCTGCCAGGGCGGCCTCCATCGCGTCACACACCGCAGTGCCGCAACGCCTGGAGCACGCCTGGAACACGCCGGGGCTCGGCGCTGGAGAAGTGCTGGAGCGAGTGCGGCCGAAACAATCCCAGATATGGGACTCGGCAAGTCCCTCCAGAGGCCGACCTAGGCGACGCGCACAGACAGGGAGGCAGGCAGGCAAACACGGGGAGAGAGAGAGAGAGAGAGAGAGAGAGAGAGAGAGAGAGAGAGAGAGAGAAAGAGAGAGAAAGAGAAGGGGAGAGAGAGAGAGAGAACGGCAGACAGACCCACGGACAGACGTAAGAGCTTGGTGCGGCTTGTTTCCAGTTGTTTGTTTGTGAGGCACGTGGGGGCAACTCCGCGAAGCAAGGATGAGGGGAGGAGGGGCGGTCCGGGCGTGAAAGGGCAAGAAGCAGAGGACAAGTCGAAGATGGAGAAGGAGAGGCACAAAGGAAGGGCGCAAAAATGCGATGCGTGCTTTCAGCAGGCTGATTCCGAGGGTCTTTCTCGTCGCTCTGTCTCTCTCGCGCACCTAGACGGGACGCCTCTTGCGTGCGAGAGGGACAGAGCGGCGAGAACGACTCTCGGAATCAGTCTGCTGGGCAAGAATGCAGTGGGCGCCATTCACTCGAATACCGTCCTCATGCGACCCGCTATTGGCACTGCTGAACACACTCTGCGTCACGCCACGGAGACGAGGGGGGAGAGGGGGGGGTAAAGGGGGAGGGGAGGGAGAAAGGAAGGGGGAGGGGAGGGGGTAGATTACTGTCCGCGCGGAGCACTCCGCCAGCCAAACTCATTGCGGCCCGAGGAAGGGGATTACTAGTCCTCCGGCGGTGGACTGATTCCCAGAGTCGTTTTCGTCGCTCTGTCTCTGTCGCGTCGACAAGGGACGCCCCATGAGTGCGAGAGAGACAGAGCGACGAAAACGACTCTCGGAATCAGCCTCCAGGGTGGGATCCCGAATATCACGAGGCTTGCGCGAGGTTAAGGGATCAGGAGGCAGCGGTCGAGGTTGGGCGAGGGGCGGGGAGGAAAAACGGGGGGGGGGGGAGAGTTGACTGAGAGGAAACGCAAGACAAACTCCTTCAGTGTATTGAAATTTTTTTTTCCTGCCCGGTGCTGCAGGGTTAGATCAAAGTTCACTTTGTTCATGTAATGAGTGGGACTCTAGAACTTGATGGTCACTGCAGTGCCATAGGTCAGACTTCCCGCCAGGCCAGAGGCGAGACAAAAGTCTTGCCAAGTTTTGGTCAGTCCTGAAAGACTCGCCAAACTTTGGTCAGATAAATATGTCGCGTCGCAAAATGACGAGACTTGGCCATATTTTTGCACAGTCTTTCCATCCGATGACGGACATGGGGAGTCAAAGAGGGAGGAGTTGAGAAGAGAGGAGAGGATCCTCAATACGGGAAGAGCGACAGAGATGGGAGGTGAAGGCAGAAGGATCGCGGCCCTGGGTAGCCGGAGGAGAGGCGGCGGGATGGGTGGCGGCGGAGACCCCCGGCTCGGCCTGCAGAGTGGCTCGAGAAATTCGCGTGACGTCCTGCGACGATTGAAGTTCCCTTTGTGCCCGGCCCTCCTCCGGCCAGCCCTTGGGCCATGCCATTGGGCCCGGTCGGCCTGGCCGAGGAGGTCCGCCAAGGCCCGCCAAGGCCTTGCCCTTGTCATTCCAGCTGCTTGACCGTGGTGGATGGCCTGGCCCTCCCTTTTGATCGCCGCCGCATTTTGTGCGGAAGGGCCACTCTGGGGAAAAGGGCTGAAATCCGTTGAGGATAATGCACTTCACAGTCAGGGGGTCTGCCGCGTCTTGCACTCATTGCACGCGGCGGCCAGCCTACACTCGCTCTCTCACTCCCACTCACTTAGATTTTAGCTGAAAAACGCCTGAAAATGGGCACATTGTGAGACAAACGCCTAGGCAACAGGGCGGGATTGAACGGAAACTCACTACACTCACACTCAATTGTATACATAATTTTAGTCTGCGGCAGACCCCTTGATTTCAGTCTTCTGTAGCCTGAAACAGTTTTTACCGCGTGCTTCAGCCTGACGCATCCCATGCACGCACACTCTTCCCTGACGTTCACCCCCCTGTTGCAGGCTGTACGAGCAGCAGGTGAAGAAGATCATCAAGGTGCAGTGCATGATGCGGGCCTTCCTCGCCAAGCGCAACATGCAGACCAAGCTGAAGCGCATGCAGAGCCAGGACTCCGGTAACCGCGGTGACTCGTTTGACCTGGGCTAAGGCTGGCCTAGGCTGGCCAATGCTGGCTAAGGCTGGCTGAGGCTGGCTGAGGCTGGCTGAGGCTGGCTGAGGCTGGCTGAGGCTGGCTGAGGCTGGCTGAGGCTGGCTAAGGCTGGCTGAGGCTGGCTAAGGCTGGCTAAGGCTGGCTGAGGCTGGCTGAGGCTGGCTAAGGCTGGCTAAGGCTGGCTGAGGCTGGCTGAGGCTGGCTGAGGCTGGCTAAGGCTGGCTAAGGCTGGCTGAGGCTGGCTGAGGCTGGCTAAGGCTGGCTAAGGCTGGCTAAGGCTGGCTGAGTCTGGCTGGCGACGCGACGCCCTGCCGCACCGCGCGTCCGTCCGGGGCGCCCCGTTTTAGTTGCTCACGTCGGTGTTGTTTCTGTTTCGTTCTTTCTTCTTTAGTGGGACGGGGTACCTGCAACCGTGCGCGGCACACTCTCAAAGTCATATGGTAAAAATTCTTCTTTTAATGGTGAAGATTCTCTGTATTAGTTAACATGGTTAACATTCTTTATGGCGATTAGTCTCTACACTCTGGCAAACATACTCTATGGCGAATATTCTCTAGACTCTGGTAAACATTCTCTATGGTGAATATTCTCTATCATGGTGCAGATTCGCTGTATCATGGTGAAGATTCTCTCTCTATTTTGGCGAAAATTCTCTATATGATTGTGGTGCAGCTGACCTTTTTTACCTCACCTCTGAAAATTCGTTGTGCCTTATGGATATTTTATCGAATGTCCTTCTTCTACCGTAGGGAGAGAAAGTCTCCACCATTACGTGTCGGTGCAGCCTTATTTTGAGTGCAGCAGAGAGCGCTGTGGAGCTCTGCTTGAAAAAGGAGTGACGCTCTCACGGTTGCGGGTCGCCCCCTAGACGTCTCTTTATGTGTTCTCAGTATTACGGTTAGCGAAACCGCTTTGTCCTCTGGCTGGAGTGGCGAGGCTCCGGGGCGGCTCTGCCACGGCTCTGCCGCCGGACGAGGCCCCTATGGCAGAAAGAAACAAGCACCAAAAGGCGCCACGGCGCCCGTGCGGCGTGCCCGACGCAAAAGTAGGGGTACGCTGGTGGAGAAAAGCACAGGAAGTGGAATCTTCTGTGGCCAGGAGCACACTGCAATAAAAAGTGTGAAAAGTACAACAAAAGTAGAACAAAAACTGTAAAATAAAAGTACAAGAGGGATTGTAGAAAGAACAACGAGAATAGTACAAACTGCAAAGGGGCCTGGACTGCACAGCACTCATCATGCCGATTCCATTGTACCTTGTACAACAATTGTTGTACTTGAAGAGTACAATAAAGTCCTGATAAAAAATTTGCCAGGAATTTGTGTACTTTTGTTGTGGGTTTTTCTTGCAGTGCAGGCATCTCGTCGTCCATTTGACAGGGATTTCTCACTCGGAATTTCATGTTTGGTTTAAATAACTGGTCGAGAGATAATACACAACCTAACGTCAAGATGTCCGCTCCATGCGGGTGTATACTTTTCCAACCCAACTTACCCCTACCGTGGCTAAAGAGAGATTGTTTTGCGTGAACGGTAGTGGGCCCCATAGTTTTGTCTTAATCCTCGTCCGTAGCGATGTCACACCACCGCAAACTGACGAAATGTATGGAGATCGTTCGTGCGCGGGACGCACGTTGCCGGCAGTGCATTGCGCGTGAGATGTGTCTGTGTGAATGTTACTGTCGAGGTCAAGAAATAAGAGTGGTGACACATTAGAAAAATGTAGGCAAACGAGCCGCCCAGTTTTGCAGCTTCTGCCATTTGCAAGAGGAATGTTTTACCACCATACTATCCTTGTAATTTTTATTTACTCAAGTTTGCCAGCATGTCTTTACTTTTGCTTGCAGAAAGCTGTCTGTGATGTGTGTCTACCTTGCTAATATTGTAACCACGTACCCTAGAGTGATGTTTTTGTGCGATTCGTATTTGTGTAGCTTCTGGGTATTATTCTTTTACTTAGTTTAGTTATAAATATACGAACTAAACTACAGTGATATGCGTCCAACTTGTGATGTTGATATTCGTTTCTAGGACTGTACGATTGATTCGGCGTATGAATAAAAGTATCAAAATATGATATGCTATAAAGGTGTCTTTACTCAACAGTACGGCTGCATTTTGTGTTTTTATCATAATGTGGTAAACAAAAAACCAATTTCGGTGACTTTCGCTCAGTGAACGAATATAAACATAATGTGTGGAGCATTGAACTGTTTGTTCTTGTTTGTATATTTATATAACATAGCATTGTAACTGAATACCTGTCATCTCTTTCAATTTCTCGACACCTAAATTGGTCTTGTTTCCGCTTTTGTGAGAAAAACGAAATGGTGGCTTTTACCCCATGCAATATCCAACACACAAAGCAGCTCAATGAGAAGCAAAGTTCAGGGACTTTCAAACGCAAGAAAGACGAGGGGCTATGCTTGAATTCAAGCGTAGCAACCATCACGCTTGAACAAAAAATTCGTGGAAGTATGCTTCAGTTCTACCAATGTAACATAACGCTTCAGTTTTATCCGTGATTTTCCGCAAAACTCAACCTGTGTGCCGCCCGGTGCCGCCGCGCACGCACACTCTAACTAGATTGGCCACCAGGTCGACGAGTTCAAAGGGAACCCGCAGACGGTTGGGAGGGGGTAATGGAATGACCACAACTTGGTTGCACTCGAGTCCCAGCCAGCGAACGCTGCCGCCATGCCAGACCGCGGCAAGGCCAAGGCGAGGCCAGGCCCCTGAGTCGCACCCCGGCCCCTGTGTTGCAGTGACCAGCCGCAAGGGTGGCAAGGCCGCGGGCAAGGCGCCACCGAAGGGCAAGCAGGCACCCGGCAAGGCCACCAGCGAGCAGAACGAGGCGGCCACCGTCATCCAGCGAAGTGAGTCAGTCCCGGTTACGGTAGAGGTGACTTGTGGTAGGATTAGCGCCGTTGCATGCAGAGACAACTGGCAAAACAGAAAAACAGAAAATGACACACGAGGGGTGAGGCAATCACCGATGCAGTTCAACGGATGTCATTAGAGGATGAAAAGTCTAAATTCTGTAACGAATGCCTCACCCACCCTTACTTGCCAAAGTACTTACGAACTGAGCTGCGCGCCACGGATTTCCGATCACCTCTCTCTTCCACTCCTCGGGGCTGCCACAGTGCTACGTGTTGAGCCTGCGAGTCAACACGGGCCAGTCCTTGTGGTCCCGATCCCTCTCCCATTTCGTCCTGCCAGCTCTAGACTGATTCCCAGAGCTCTTTTCGTCTCTCGGTCTCTCCCGCTCCTTTCCCGTACGCCCCATGAGTGCAACAGAGACAGAGAGCGACGAAAGCGACTCTCTGGAATCAGTCTGCAGCACGTCCTGGTGCCCTCAGACACCATGTGCCCGTTACTCTCGTGCAACTCGTTCCTTTCCCACCGTGAAGTACCTACGACAGTGCCCACATCCCCCTTGCCCCTAACCCCCTTTTCCGTTGGCCCCAACCCCCCTCCCGTTTGCCCCTAACCCCCATCCCCCTCGCCCCTTACCCCCATCCCCCTTGCCCCTAACCCCCATCTTCCTTGCCCCTTACCCCCATCCCCCTTGCCTCTAACCCCACCCCGCTTCCCTCAACCCTGCCCCCGTATTCGCTCACTCCCATCCCCCCTCCCTCGCGCTCCTCCCACACTGGGCAGAGGATCGCGTGCAATCGGCCCCTGAGTGCGCGCTATCTCACCGCAGGGGCATAACTCAGCGCAAGAAAAACAGTGGTGCAGCGGTCGAATGCGCCCTAACTCAAGGAATGCAGACGGCCCGGCGACCCCTGCACAGTCTGCACAGTGGGCCAGAAGGCCGGTGGAGGCGGTCAAAATCGCGGACGCGTTTTGAACCCCAGATTCGCTAAATGGGACTCGAACTGAACAAGCAGGGGTCAACGCTCGGTTTTAGTCGTGTAAAGCGAATCTGGAGCTCAAAATGCGTCTAGAGTTTTGGCCGCTGACACCGGTCTTCTAGCCCACTATGCCCTGCCCCGCTGCCTTACGTAGAAACTGCTATTATAATTACCATCATCATTTAAGAGCGACAGATCGATGTCTCCAATTCAGACGATTCGTCAGCATTTTCATCGTTCCGAAAACACTGAATTTTCGTAATATTTTGACATAGTATTTCTTTATAGTAGTCTTGTGCCATCATTTTTAATAGGAAGTTATTGGAAACAAAATTTCACTTTAGTTCATTTTTATTTTTATAAGAAATTGTGTTTTCTTTGCCCAATATTTTTTTTATAGTAATTGGCATGCCCAATCGCAGTGTTTTGATTAGTGTACTGGTTCCAGACTTCCGCGGCTACAAGGTGCGCAAGGAGTACGGACCACTCGTCAGTGCGGGTGGTGAGTTCCACTTTGATTTTGTTTGTCCTTCTCGCACCAACGCATTTTTGGCATTTTGTGTCCGCTCTACCTTCACCCAAAACAACCCAGAACCAACGAAACAAACTGTGTTTTTCCCCTGTTTGAACGTTAAGTGAAAACGTTTTTTTCAGCATTGTGCCTGTTTAGCAAGTATTTGTTTTCGAGAACTCACTGATACTGAAAGAGTCATAACCAGGAATAAAGTTCTTTGGTGAGGTATTCTTTATTATTCGAATTTGGGGGGGGGGATATAATATCACCCATCGATGATGGGCGTTTCCTGAGCCGAAATTGGGTGATGCTTTGAAGTAAAAACACCCTGTATCGTTCAAATTTGGATTCCAAATATTTTGGTGATAAAATAACCCTGCTCACCCGCATTCGGATGGTCAAGTGTACTTCACGTCACCTAACGTGTGGCAATGATCAGGACTCTTCCCTTCTCAGAGCTGCGTCTAATAGACAGTGTCCGCAGGCAAGCTGGACGTGGAGACCGCCCACTTCATCCGACACTACTGCCACAAGTGGAAGGCAAAGTCCATGTACCAAGTCCTCCTCCTGTACAGAGCCAAGCGCTACCAGGACTTCGTTTACTTCGCACAGCAGGTGAACGCAGTCAACGAAATTGTGCTTAGTCTAGATGGCATGTGTCTCTCAGTCTTAGTGTGACGCTGAGACAGTTTGTTGTCTGTTGCTAACAATGGACTTCCACGACAAACTAGCAGCTTCACTGTGAAAAATTGTTGTCATAAGATGACATCTTCGTCAATTGAGAATAATGTCTATTTCATCTCAAAAATTTGTTGAGTCGAAATTCAAATAGATTCGTTCCAGAACCAGTGAAATTCATGTCGAAATTTATAGAAATTAGTTTCAAATTCATCCAAATCTCATGCGGAATTTTAAAAAAAAAATTGTAGACTGCTTTGTACACTAAGTTACCTCCCGCCTTTTGCACGGTGCGTCTATGGACGGGTTATGCAACAGTGAACAGTGTGCTTGCCGGCGAGACTTGAGCCCGCCGCTTCCTCTGCGCAGGCCCACATGTACAACCAGAGCGTGGTGTGGAACTTGCAAAGCAACCGGGAGCAGGTGGACGCCTCCAGTCTGGACTCCAGGGCTCCCAAGGACTTCCTGGAGGCGGCGGCCGACCATAAGCCTAACGTGTTTAAGCTGCCCTTCCGCCTGCAGGACCCCTTACTGCTGGGGGTGTTTAGCAAAGTGGATCCTCTCTCCGCGGACCGGCGCGCGTAAGTCGGGGTGGGGGGAGGAAGGCCTAATCGATGGACGAGGCCGCGGCGAGGAGACAAGCCCCGCTCGCGAGCGTCACCGAGTCACACAAGACTTTCTTAACAACATTAAAAAATAAAAATTAAAAAAAAAAGAACTATACGCTCAGCCTGTTTGTTAAGGCTGAACAAGTGGTCCCTGATGCGGATGCATGATCACAGACTTTTACACTGTTAAAACTGGAGCGTAGTTGTATGCTTCATTCAAGCATACAACTACGCTTGAAGACCTTACGCTTGATGTCAAGCGTAGAGAAGAAATCCTCCCATGCATTTAGATAGGCGGGAGAGGGGCGAAATGGAGAACTACGCTTGAAGCCGAGCGTAGTTCTACTACGCTTGAAGAAAGGCGTAAAAGTACGCTTGAGTTCTACCAGTGTATCAAGCCGGCATCATCTCGATTCGCGACTGTCTCAGCGTGAATGTCGGAAAACGGTGACCCATACATTTATTTTTACAGGTCTCTTCAGGAAGACGAGCCCTGGGACGCGCCCTTCAAGCCCAAGGGCACCAACAAAAACTCGACGCCAGTCATCATTGGTCCTTACGGCAAGAGGGGTAGGTTCCTTCCTCGCGTGTGCGAATCTTATGGCCATGCACCGTGGCAAAAAGCTACGGAAAATCATGTGAACTGCTCTGCCAAATATTCTCCGTAGCCCTCTGGTCAATATTCTCCGTTCGGGCCTTACAGTTTTCCGGAAGAATGTATAGTCCTGCGCAGAACACTGTAAGGTCTTACGAAGAATACTGTGGGGTCCTGTGAAAAGGTCCTACAGAGGATAATTGGCAAGAGGGCTAACGTAAGGAGAATTATCACAAGTTGTCAACAGAATTTTCCGTAGCTTTTTAAAAGTACACACAGTACAGTGTGATTTGCAGGTGAAGTCATGAGGTGATCTAGGAACCTGAGAGCTCGTGCCCTGCTCGTTTCAGATCAAGAGGTGCAGACGTCGCTGGTGTCGCTCAGGGATGCAGTGAGAGATGACGACAGGCGCTCTTCGTACAGCAACGCGCGGAACGGACCAGCCGCTCCAGAATTCAAGGCAAGAATCATTTCAGGTTTTATTGAAAGTGTGCACATTAAGAAGTGCGTTGTCAACCGCGTGTGCAGAGGACTATTGCATCTTGTGCTGTTGTTGCACTCTCAGCCTCTTACTGACTTCATCGTCAGTAACCACGTAGCCTACAAGAACAAGGTTTATAGATTTCTTCTAAGATACGTACAATTTACTGCATAGAATAATTTAGGAATTTTTTTGTCAATAAGTGATAACAATATGTTAAATATGTCAATGTTAATATGTCAATTACAAATGCGAAAAGTACGTATTATTGTTGCACAAATTACTAGAGGTGCTACTGACTAAATGTCAATACCATGTCCTAAAAATCAATACCGAGTCTGAGAGTGTGAGAAGTCATTTTGACGTGTGAGTCCATGACATTCAGAATACTCCCACCTCACTGCGTTGCAACTCCACACCTCCTTGCCCGACTTGACGGAGCACACAGTGTACTGCGGCAAGACCGCAGAGACGACATCATCATAATTTCACCGGCATGTTTGTCGTCCCCCGCTTTTGATTGATGTATTTTTCATCTCGCGCCAGGCGCCGCCCTACACGTCGCGGCCGAACAACCAGAGCTACGCACACGACAACAACAACGTGAATAAAGGGTGAGGGCAACGTTAGGGCAGGGCTGGCCCCGCGGGCTAGGCCCTTGGGCTGGCCCTTACACTGCTTTACGGCAGCCCTGCGTCGCTGCAGGTGCCCTGCAGCTGTAGTGGCACACTTCTCGGCACGACTGCCCTACAGAGCAGTGGCACCGTCGTGCGTGCGCGCGCAGGGGACGGTTTGGCTCGGAACCGCTCTCTGACGGCGGATATGCCCATGCAAAACTTGACGCGCCCCAACAAAGTGTCTGCTCCAACTAACTATGTTGGTTAAAATGACGACCGAAATTCAGACCGCGGGATCATTTCAGTCGAAAAAAAATAAATCACACGGTAATAACGGTACCTAATTTTCCCAGGAAGCCTATGGTAAAGACATAGGTGATTCCGAGGGGGTTCCTGGGAGAAAACCAGGAACCTTTTTCACCGTAGTAACAAGCGGTTCACTTAAAAATCTTCCAAAACATTGTCAAAAGATTTCTCAAAAGATTTGTTTTTCTTCGAAGTGGGAAGCAATGTTTCGTGGACTTTTATTTTGTCCGTGTGGCCGAGGTTTCTTTTAGTGTTGTTTCACCATTTGTTTAGTGACTGAAAGCTATACCGAAGTTGATCCGGTGGCACCGTGCCGCACACTCTCGTTCTCTCTCTCTCTCTCTCTCTCTCTCTCTGTACCTTTCTCTCTCTCCCCCCCCTCTCGGAACGGTGTCCCCGCTGAAACCCTGACTCTTGCAGAGGCGGCCGCGTGCGGGCGGGCGCCCCCGCCGTGGGCCCCCCTGGGGGCAGGCGGCCTTTCAACCCCGTGGCGGAGCTGGAGCTGCGCGGCCAGAAGACGCCCAGGCAGCAGGACGACTCGGACGACCCCCCCTTCAACTTCCAGGTGGGCGTGACTCCGCACGGTGGGCCAGGACGATCCGTGGAGGCGGTCAAAACCCCGGACGCGTTTTGAGCTCCGGAGTCGCTAAATGCGACTCGAACCGTTCGTGTGACCCCACCAATTGATTGCTCTGTGAACGAAGAATCCGTTGGTGGGGTCACACCTTCGCTTTGAGTCCTGTTGACTGTGGAACTCAAAACACGTCAAGAGTGTTGGCCGCCGGTGGCGGCCCCACAGTCCCACAGAAACCCGTAGTTCGGCACGGAAAATGTACGGAAAATGGCGTATCGCTAGCTACAGGGAACTCCATAGGACTCCGGTTTCGCTGTGGAGGCGTGCTTCTAGTGGCGGATCCATTTTGATTTGTCCCACCAAGAAGCAGTTGCTTTTTCCGTCGGTTTAAAACAGGGGGAAACTAACCGCTTCGGTTTCCCTCCTGCCTTTGCCACGCGAGGGTTGTCGTGATGCTGTTACAGGAGTGCGACACGCTTGTTCATATGCCGTTTGCTCTCGGCAGCACCGCGCTCCTGCCAAGTGGTCTCGGCTGCGTAGACAACTCAGTTACACTCATGCCCCTTCTCTCTGGGCATGGGGGGCCTCCCGCACAGTGGGCCAGAAGACCGGTGGAGGCGGACAAAACTCCTAGACGCGTTTTGAGCTCCGGAGTCGCTACATGGGGCTCTAACCGAACGTGTTACCCCACCAATAGATTCCTCGTTCGGAGAGCAATCCATTGGCAGGGTCACACGTTCGGTTCGAGGCCCATTTAGCGACTCTGGAGCTCAAAACGCGTCTAGAGTTTTGTCCGCCTCCACCGGTCTTCTGGCCCACTGTGTCCCGTACCCCAGCGCGCGGTGAAAAAAGATTTACCTGTCCGTCTTTCTGCGGTTGCCCTACATAATGAACCTTGAAAAACAAGACAAGAGGAGTTTTTTTTTTGGTCCGTGCGTGACGTGCAAAGCTCGCAAAGCCGTAAAAAAAAAACAAGCAGCGTTCATTTAAAAAGGACTCAGGGTAAAAACGAAAAAAAAAAAATAGGACAACAAAACGAACAAGGCCCCGTCCAAGACTTTACCTTTCTTCGTTGTGTGCTAAACTGCCCACCCTCACCTTTCATGTCCCTCTCATCCTCTGCCCTGGAGGCGGCATTTACTCCCCTAGAGACGTGAGCCATACAGCGCTTAAGTGAGATGACTCTTGGGGTGGCGGGGGCTTGGAGAGGGGTGGGGCAGGGGGGGGGGGGGGGAGAGTGCATTCGCAACTCACCTCCACGGCCGACCACGCACCGTCAAATTAGTCCATCATTAAAAGAAATTGAAACGGGTAAAACATAGGTCCAGTTCACTCATTGCACGGTTCAGATTTACCATCATTCAAATCTCTCATTTAAAAGGTTCGCAGCAGAAGACAGAATAAATAGATTTTCGGGGGTTGGCAACAATTTTCCCGGCGTCTGCGCCCTTTCGAAAATCGCGAGGCTGAAAAAAACAAGTAGTCGCACATTGAAACTGCCTCTCCATTGTTGCTGAGGTTGGGTTGTTTGGCTTGCTTTTAAAGGCTGCGGTTCTCTCTCAGCCCCAAAATATAAAATTTACTCCCTTCTTCGTATTTCTAACTTCAAATCTTCTTTCATTAACTTACATTATTTCCACAACCGGAACACCGTGCAATGCGTAAGCATTGGAATTTTTTTTTTTGGTCCGTGCGTGACGTGCAAAGCTCGCAAAGCCGTAAAAAAAAAAACAAGCAGCGTTCATTTAAAAAGGACTCAGGGTAAAAAGTAAAAAAAAAAACTAGGACTACAAAACGAACAAGGCCCCGTCCAAGACTTTACCTTTCTTCGTTGTGTGCTGAATCGTTACTGCCCCTCCCTCACCTTTCATGTCCCTCTCATCCTCTGAGCACCCTGGAGGCGGCATTTACTCCCCTAGAGACGTGAGCCATACAGCGCTTAAGTGAGATGACTCTTGGGGTGGCGGGGGCTTGGAGAGGGGTTGGGCGGGGGGGGGGGGGGGGGAGGTCGTGCCTGATTCGCAACTCACCTCCACGGCCGACCCGCAGCGTCACCGTCGCATTGTGCCATCCTTGCGCCGAGGGATGAGAGACGGGTAGCGATAGGTGTCGTCGCTTCAGCAGAGCGCGGTTCGGTTTCGCCCCTCTCGCGTTTTATTTCTCTTTCTTTCACCTTTTCTCCCATCCCTTTGTCGTGTTTCAACCGCTTTGCATCCGAACGTTATATGTGGGTGCCATATCGGGTGGACTGGCGCTTCTGCTGCTGACAGAAAACACATTCACATAGCGGGACTGACTTTTCAAACAAAGATAGCAAAATCGAGTTAAAACCCCGCAACTTCGTGCCATGCGAAAAAAGGCAGCATGCACAGAAAGTTGAGCAACTGCGATTCAGCCCAAGTCCTATATATCACGCGATTGATTCACCTTTGTCAAGAATGTTTCACTGGACCTTTCGCAATATGTCTATCTCCTAATGAAATGTCGCCCTTGTTTGGCAGGCCATGCTGCGAAAGACGAACCACGGCCGCAACTCCCTGAAGCGCCACAGCTCCGGCGAGGACACGTTCGGCCCCACAGTGTACAGCTCGGGCAACCTCAGGCCTTCCCCGCCGTCGCCCACGCCGTCGGGGCGCCGCAGCCGATCGCCGCGACCCGACTCGCCCACGCGACGGCCTCGGGACATCCCCGCCAGGTAAACAACACTGCCAACACGCGGACAGTGGCCAGAAGACCATTAGAGGCGATCAAAATCCCGAACGGGCTTTGAGATCAGAGTCGCTAAATTGGACTGAAAAAGAACGTGTGACCCCACCAATGGATTGCTCTCCGAACGAGGAATCTATTGGCGGGCTCATCACACGTTTGGTTCGAGTCCTGTGTAGCGACTTTGCAGCTCAAAACGCGTCTATAATTTTAGCCGCCCGCGCTGGTTTTCTGGCTCTCCCTGCGCAAGGGCACGTCGGGGAAGAAAAGAAGGGTCAGAAAACGTATGCTTACTTTGTAAGGATTTGACCGTGTGCTTGTTACAGGCGGCGGCCGGGGTCACTCGTGAGCACGGAGCTGGCGCCGGGCATCGTGGTGCACGGCCACGTGGCGGACTTGTAGCGCCGCCCCGAACGGTCTACCTGTCTCCCTCGCACCCCTGCGGGAGGCCCCCTGAGTGCGAGAGAGACGGCAAGCGACCGGATCCTGGTTCGGAATCAGCCTCGCTGGCGCACAGTGGGCCAGAAGACCGGTGGAGGCGGCAAAAACCCCGGACGCGTTTTGAGCTCCAGAGTCGCTAAATGGGACTCGAAATGAACGTGTGACCCCACCAATGGGCTGCTCTCCGAACGAGGAATCCATTGGTGGGGTCACACGTTCGGTTCGAGTACTGCTTAGCGACTCGAGGGCTCAAAACGCGTCTAGAGTTTTGGCCGCCTCCACCGGTCTTCTGGCCGGCCCACTGTGTGGCGCCGCACCGGACAGCGTGTGTTTGGTTTCGCTGCTCTCCTTTTTGCGGGATAAACGGCACCCGGAAACGGAGCGCAGGCTGGCGAGCGATTCGGAAGAGCGGTTCGTCGCTCTGTCTCCCTCGCACCCTCATGGAGAGCCCCATGAGTGCGACAAAGACGGAGCAACTTAACGACTCTTGTGAATCGCTCGGCGTGATTGGAGCCGGGGGTATGCATTTCTGGGAGAGGGAATCCCCCCAGCCGTGGCGAAAATCGACGATCTGTAATCCTGGCTGTTCCTGTTCTCAATTACTTGTCATTGTGCGGTCATCTTTTTCGAACTTTCATTCACCCTCCTGACGGTCTTTAAAATATAATGTGCAAATTTTGTACGAGACTTGGAAGTTTTCAGTGCAAATGATCTTTAATGTCCGAATTCACCTGATGGTTACATCATGCCTTGGATTCCTTCTCTCTAGTGATTGCACCCTCTTGTCGGCCCTCACGAAACAGTTCCAGTTGTAATTACGACTAATTATATCTACAACTAACCTAAGCACGATTGAAATACACGTAACATAACTTAGTCTTTGTAATCCAGTAACGGTTCGATGTTTTACGGACCTTGTTCGTTTTTTGTTTTATTTGTTCATTAAGTGATGAAGTGATTTCTCGCTGGTAAAACTGAGACGTCTTTGTACACTACATTCAAGCATACATTCAGGCCTACGCTTGAAGATCGAAGTCAAGGGTAGAGGAGAAGTTGTCCCATGCATTTGGATAGCCGGGGATGGGGTAGAATGAACCACTCTGCTTGAAGAGAGGCGCAAAAGTGCGCTTCAACGGTGCTCTTTGGTTCTTTAAATGATGAGTATGGCGTAAGACCGAGACATTAGACGTGAAGGTGCCAAAACGGTTTTGCTCCTTTTCCATCTTGATTCCATAACATTGGACACCATCAAAGACTGGGAACATCTTAATGGACTTACTTTCTCTGTTTCAAACAAAACCAAACTCAACTAGAATAAATGTTTTTATCTCTGTACGTCCACTGTTAAAGATATGGAATTGAAAGTATGAAAACTTGATGTTATTTGAGTGGTACTGGCTAAAACAAGTTTGTGAACTATTTAGAAACATGATCTTAACTGCCCCGGCACCAACAGTTTCTTCCATATTTACGACAGCGATGATTATAATCTCTTTTCAACCCCTACGAACTCATGTAATAACTCTTGCACTCTTTTAATACCGCCATAAATAAAATATTCATTCCGTTTTGCCAAAAGCGTTCCTTTTTACCTTTGCCGCCCTCACCTGCTCCATCATTATCAACCCCCGGGGCCAAGAGAAACCCCCGGGCCGAGCCATTGTCTGTCCGAGTGCCTGAGAAGTCATTGGGAGCCACTCATCGGAAATAATAGGTGACGCCGCGCCCCGCCGCACCTTTACCCAGCCCGTGAATGGTAATGACTCTGGGCCAGTGCGCCCCATGAATAGGAAGCCCCTGCGGGGGGCGTGCGAAAACGGTGTGCCGGATGCCGAGAGTCGTTTTCGTCGCTCTGTCTCTCGCGCACTCACGCGGCGTCCCGTTTAGGTGCGACGGAGAGACAGAGCGACGAGAACGACTTTCGGAGTCGGTCTGCGGCCACGCGGCGTTCCTGCAGTGGAGGTGGCGGCGGCGCAAAGCGCGGCGAGGCGATTCGGACGCGTCCTCGCCGATGCCGCTCGCGGATCAAAGGGAGGAAAAGGGCCCCAGCGGCGAAGCGGTGGGCATTTCGAAGGTGTCTCTTCGCGTCGTTTTCAGGTGAAAGGGGGAGGGGTGGGGAGGGAGAGGGTGAAGAAGGGGGGATGTGGGGAAGGGGGAGGGGGAAAGGGAGGGAAAACGAGGAGGGGGGTCCGCGCGGTTACCTGCCTAATAACGCCCCGCCTGTCTTAGCCTTGCAAATTGTTTGGGTCCCATTGGGCTGCGGGTGCGGGGCGCCGGGAAGACCCAGGTCGACACCCGGACTGCGCGAACCGCTCATCTCGGAAACGGAAGCGGGCATCTCCAGCCTCGCGCCGGCGCAGTTACGCGGTTCTGCCGCGACGCGGCGTCCATTGTGGCCCCGCCTTCTGCCTGCCAGGGCTGCGGACTGATTCCGAGTCGCGCCCGTCGCTCTGTCTCTCTCACTCCCACACGGGACGTCCCACGAGTGCGAGAGAGACAGAGCGACGAAAACGATCCTCTGAATCACTCTGCTGGCGCTCGGCCGGCAGGGCCGGCAGCCCGGTTCCGACCACCGCTCTCGTCACTCTGCCTCTCTCGCACTGACGGGCTGACCCACAGGAGCGCGAGAGGGACGGAGCGAGAAAACGGAGTTCGGAAGCAACCCGCAGCGCCTGGCAGTCTAACTCGCCCTCGGCCTCAACTTCCGGGCCGGCAGCCTGGGGCAGCCCGCCTCCATTCTCGTCCACGTCCGGCGCTACTGCAAAGTTCAAGGTTCAGCCGAGAGAAGGTGCCGTGCGGTCGAGAATGTCCGCGCCGCGATGAGTTTTGCTACCGCTGCCCTCGGCCCTTGTCGCGAGGTGTACTTGAATCTATCGCAAACTGCCAAGGGGCCGACGGCGGGAACTCTTTTGCATCTTAGAGAGAAAGCTAGCTTGTACATAGAGACGCGCCACCGAGGTAGGCCACCTATTTGACACGCTGGGGTTGGTGTGAGGGACAGGGAAGAGAGTTGAGTGTTTGTTCCGCGTCCATTATTTCCTATAGTCAGGGCTGTCTCGGCCACGCCGTCAAGGTAGGCCGCCCATTTGACACGCTACTGCAAAAGCAGCGCTCCGGCGGAAAATATAAGCCACACCCAGCCGGGATTTGAACCCAGCTACTTCTAACCACGGCCGGCATCTCAGCCCACTGAGCCACCAAGGCACCGATCGATGAGGATCGGTCTAAACTTAGAGTGATAGTACCGCAATCAAGCAGTGAACTGAGGAAAATGTTCCTGCGCTCGGGATTCGAACCCAAGTGCTCACTCGGGGCGAACACTTCTGCGCTCTCAGCCACCGAGCCATTGGTAGTGCGTTCGCCGATGTTGATACTGGGGGTACGGGATTCAAGGTTCAACTGAGGAAAAAATTTCCATATCTGGGATTTGATCCAGCTTCTTCTTTAGGGGCGGCCGCCACCTCTGTGCCCGGAGCCACCTGTTCACACGGTCCTCCCTCGCCCAAACTGAAACCTGCTTCTGTCTGGTTGGAGAGGTTGGGAAGAAAAAAATCGGTAAATGCTCGCAAACAAGATTCCGGTACCATGAGAATAGCTTTGGCGTGCCAGTCATCCTCAGTCCCTGCATGCAGCCTCCCTGGCGGTGCCTCCTGGCGGCGCTAGTCACGCCCGAGCGATCGGTCGCGTGTTCGGACCGGTTCGGACGGCTGGGCTCAGGGCGTCGGGGTGCGACGGATTGCGCCGCGAATCGTGCCGTGCTGCGGCGTTGGTTTCCGCGCTGTGCCGTGCTGTGCCGTCATTTCCCCGGGCATGTAACCCTTCCGCTTCCTTCCTTACCCCATTTCATAATACATGTGCCCGGGGTATCGATCTGCGGCGTGGCCGCGCTGCGGCGGCCGGCCGGCCGCGCCGCCAAAAACGACTAGAGCTCTCGGCCGCGGCACGCTGCGCCTGGACTGACTCATCTGGAGCCGCGTCGCCGTCTGAACGCGCTGCTGCTGGACTCATCCGTACTCATCGTAACCGCCTCGTCGTCATCTGGACTCTATACGTGATGCTGCTGGACTTATCTTAAACACGTCATCGTCTGGACTCCGGGTGCGCTGCTGCTGGACGCTGAAACCCTCCCCCGCCCTCCCCGTCGTCTGCAAGCGCGGATCCACAGAGGGAGCGACAGGCCTTTTGCCCCTCCCATTGCACCTAAATACCGCCTGAAAGATAGGCCAAAAGCCATACCTCTCCCCTGTAAGTTGGCAAAAAGACATGATTGTCTCCTGTAACTAGTAGTGCGGGTAACGGAACGGAAAAACCCGGAAAAACCCCATAGAATGTTGCAAATTGGGTTACAAGCAAGCCACCCAGGTCACCTATAGATCCGCCACTGGTGGTCTGTACTCTCGCGGCTGGACTCATTTGAGCCGCGCCGTCGTGGCTAAGGTCGCCAAGCCTAGGTCCCGTTCGTCTCTTTTCAGTACGTCAAAAAAAAAAATTGGAGGAGACATTTTAAAAATTTTCTCCGTTAAGAAAAACTGGGGATATACTTTTGTCATACACTGAGAATGAGAGAGTCTTGATCAATACCCAATTTAGGGCGAGGTATAATCTATCACCCGAATTAAAGTGAGAAAATTTGGGTGGTAAAAAATTCCTGACCCAAAATCTTAGTCCTAATCATCATGACTCTTTCATTCTCGGTGATTTTTTTCTCAGCCTCTCTTTCCAGCCTTATATCATCTCCCTGGTCTGGCGTCAGCGCCCTTCACGCCCCGTTATCCCTTTATCGCCCCACACCGTGATCGCCCCCCTCGCACATCGCGGCTAAACATAGCGCCTGCTCAATACGCCACGGCCAAGGCCACGGAGTTGCGACCTTGCACTGCATTCCGACGACACCCTACCCCCCCCCCCCCCCTCTCTCTCTGCTGCACGCTGTGTTTCACCCTTTATCGTCTTGGCACGAACCCATTCCCCCAATTGGACTGCGTGCGAATGCCTCGAGCCGCTTCCAGTGTCGTTGTTGTTGTGCGCCTCGCCGCGCGTCCACCAACGGGCGGACGATGATGACGTAACGTTTTTCATAGCTCTGTCCTTGTCGCTCCTTATGGACTGCCAGCACTGAAAATAGAAAGGTCATACTTTTGACCGCTTAAACGGTCTTACTGAAATGTACGACCGAAAAAGGGTCATACTTCGATGTATGACCGAAAAACGGTCATACTTCGATGTATGACCGAAAAACGGTCATACTTCGATGTATGACCGAAAAACGGTCATACTTCGATAAATGACCGAAAAACGGTCATACTTCGATATATGACCGAAAAACGGTCATACTTCGATGTATGACCGAAAAACGGTCATACTTTATAGTGTATCACGGGTAAATGCTGATACATCCCCAAGCTAAACAATAGCCAGTCTCGCTGATGTCTGACCTTTTTTTGGTCATACATTTAAGTATGACCGTTATTCGGTCATACATTTATGTATGACCGTTTTTCGGTCATACATTTGTGTGTGACCGTTTTTTCGGTCATACTTTTTGTATCACCGAAAATCGGTCAGATGTCTCACCCTTTGAATTTCAGTGAGTGAGTGCGAGAAGGACGGAAGACGTTACGCAATTTTGTGGACGAACCCTAACGAGCGACACGTCCGTGAATTTAGCTAAAAAATTTTAGCTAAAAAAGGGTCAGCTTTTCCTATCCGACTATGTACTCACGGACGTACGAGCGACCAACGGTTTTCACCCCGTGGACCACCCTCTCCTCCCACGTCAGTTTCGGCCAATTTTCGGCAATTGTATCATTTTTCACGCAGAGGAACAGTTTGCTTGTCAGAGAAGCGAAAACGATCATGAACTACACACAGAACCCTAACTGCTCGTTGAAGTACAAAGAAAACGAAGGCTTCGCAGCCCACGAAGAAAATCGTTTGTAATATGTATAAACGATTTGGTTAATAATACGACGAAAAGATCCTTCGCAGGCTGCGAAGAAGTCCTTCGATAGGCTTCAAAGGATTTTTTCTTCGTATCACACACAAAATCGTTTGTTTTACAAACGATTTCCTTCGGAGGTAGCGAAACCTTCGTTTTCTTTGAATTACAACGAGCAGTTAGTTCTTCGTAGGAATTTATCTGTGCACCGCGTTGAAGGTCACCTGAAGTTCGTTCGTATATATTTTCCCCAAATGTCGGCCTCCACTGCGAACTGGCGAGACCACGTTGAAGGGACCCGGGGGTTTTTTCCCCCTTTGTTTTTCCCTTCCCAGGTGTCTCGCAAGGTCCCTTGGGAATTCACTCAAAACCTTCCCTTGTGACGGAAACGTTTTTCGACGGTTAAAAAGAGTCCATTAAAATGGGGGTATTCTTTTGGAAGGCCCCGTAAGTTCCGGAAGGTTTTTTCGTAAATGCATCCCCGTTAAACTGTTGTCCAACGTTCGGAGGAAAGTAAAACCAGAAGGCCGCTGGCTGTCATTAAAAATGAAAAATTTGAAAACCAACTTTCCCTCTTACGATATGTCATCGCGAACTTTAACCATGCTAAAATCAGAGGTTTACTTTGAAATGTTCACTAAATGAAACCCATTTATTAACGGAACGTGCGTTCGTTGAAAATGCGTATTCGTTGAATTTTGGGTACCACGTTCACATGGGTGCTATTATCAGTTTGGGAAATGGTCGCGTCAGGAAAAAATCTTATTACGCACGAAGGGACAACGAAGTGATAACTGCAGAACAACGTATCTTCATAGGGTAGCCCACGTTAGATAAGCTGTTACCACACAAATTTAACAGTATAACAAATTTGACGTCACATTCGTCGAATTACAGTGGAGCTTCACACCATGAGACCCTTATAGTGTGTGTAGCCAATCCGCCTCCACGCCGACAGCCGCTCGTCTTTCTGCCCCTCCCTTTCCTGGCCAAACTCGAGTGGCCGGGTGGACGTGATTTTCAGGTTGACACGGCGGTGCGACACGGCGGGGTGACAACTGACGCGCGAGTGGACGCGGACACGCGGAGCGCGGACACTGCGGGGCCGGCGGGGGGCAGGCCGCGACCCCCCAAGCGCTGCGTCGCGCGCCCCTAACCACGCCACGCCACGCCACGGGGACGAGGCAACTCGGGCCCGGAGCAGCGGGGGGGCGGCCGGGGGCGGCCGGGGGCGGCCGGGGGCGGCCCGGAGGCGCCCCCACCCCCGGAGCGGCGTGGCGGGGCGTAGCGCAGCCAGTTGTCTGGCAGCAGTCGCGGCGCGCGCCTCGCCCTGCTGCCCTGCCCGAGTCCCACAGTGCTCCAGCCAGCCAGTGCGCCGGCAGCGCTTGCCCCGCGAGCTTGCCGCGAGTCCAGCCAGGCCGAGTCGAGCCACGCAGCGCCGTTGAAGCCCCAGCGCCGCCCAGCGCGCGGGGCGCCTCGCGTACCGCAGCGTGTGTTTGTGTACAGTCGCCATGGCGGTCCTCGACAAGGTGCTCCGGCTCCTGGCCGTCGTCGCCGTCCTGGCCGCCGCCGAGTCCAGAGCGGTGAGTTTCTCGTCACGCCGTCGTCACGGCATCGTCACTTCGTAGCCCAGGCTTTCGTCACGCCGTCGTCACACATTTTTCACACTGTCGTCACGTCCGTTGTCACACTGTTGTCACACCGTCGTCACACAGTTTTCACACCATCGTCATGCCGCCGTCTTCAGTGTCGTCACGTCGTCGTCACACCGTTACCCAAACCGTCACAACTTCGTCACACAGTTCTCGCACCGTCGTGACTAAACAACGCAGCCGTGCGCTGTCACGACCGACCGGCGCGCGGACTGTCTTCCGCTGTCCGTGCATATCAGTCGGGGTGGCATCGCGCGGCCGTGACAACATCGTGACGCGCCGCGCTTCGTCACGCAGCGCCACTTTATCATCGTCGCGTGGCAAGCCAGTGGCAAGCCAAGCCGGTGTCGCGTCTGCCCCGCCTAACCTCGTCACGGCTGTCGCACGCGCCGCCAACGCCCGTCACGTCACCTCACGGGATTTTTGTGGCGGCCGGCGCCGCACAGTGGGTTTGCCAGAAGACCGGGGGAGGCGACCGAAACTCCAGACGCGTTTTGAGCTCCAGCGTCGCCAAACAGGACTCGAGCCGGATGCGTAACCCCACCAATGGATTCCTCGTTTGGGGAGCAATGCGTTGCTGGGCTCACACGTTCGGGGCGAGTCCCTTTTAGTGATTCTGGAGCTAAATCACGTCTGGAGTCGTGGCCGCTTCCGCAGGTCCTCCTCTGTCCCACTGTGCGGTGGCAGTACCGGTTGGTTGGGAGGCGGTGCTATGCACCTGATTTCTGCGACACACCTGCACGCGCGCGCGCGCGCGTGTGTGTGTGTGTGTGTGTGTAGGTGTGTGAATGTTCGGGCCGAAACCCTGGGGCGGCATGCAATGGGGTGGGGGGTGCGTTTCAGGGTATGGCCGTGATGGCGTATGGCGGTGTGAGAGTAAATGAGGGTATGCGCACGTGCTGGCTGAGTGTGTGTGTGTGTGTGTGTGTGTGTGTGAGAGAGAGAGAGAGAGAGAGAGAGAGAGAGAGAGAGAGAGAGAGAGATACAGAGACAGAGACAGAGAGATACCGAGAGGGACGAAGATACAGAGAGGAAAAGAGAGAGATATAGGGTATGAGTGTGACGGCGGGTGTGTCCGTGCGAGGGTGTCTGTGTGTGGGTGGAGGGTCCGTCCGTGTGAGGCTGTGTGAGAGGACGGCGGCATGACGTTGGCAGTGTTTTGTTTCCCCGGCGGTCCGCCGTGTTGTGTTGACCCTTTGGCCGAAGGGCGAACGGGGAGAGAGGGGGGAGGGTCGGGGCGTTGCCGGGCGTTGCAAGCGCATGACTTTGCTAATGTGCGGGACCACCTCGGCGGCCGCTTGCACGCGAGCCAAGGCGACGCCGAAGGCCCGAAGGGTAGAAGGGGTAGAGGGCGGCTTAGGGTCGGACGCGGTTAACCAACGACCCGGACCGTGCCGACCTTCGCGTCCTTTAGGTGCCTCCGAGCCCTACAGCGGCTCATCCTCCGACCCCCCCCCCCCCCCCCCCAAGCCACTGCTGTGCGAAACCCCCCTGCCCCGCCGCCGAGTCCCCCGTCAATCGGCACATCGTTTTGGAAAACGCGGCCGCATCTATAAACCTTTACGCACGCACGCTCACAGCGACATAGCGAGCAGACACACCCCTCCCCTCCCAGTTCTACGATTTCTCTCTCTCTGTCTCCCTCTCTCTGTCTCTCGCCCTGTCTCTCTCCTCTCTCTCTCTCGCTGTCTCTCCTCTCTCTCTCTCTCTCTCTCTCTCTCTCTCTCTCTCTCTCTCTCTCTCTCACACACACTGCAGGCCTTTATAAAGCGATTAGCCCTCGCATGCAATCGACAATGCCGCGTTGTTGCAGGTGCTGTTGTCCATGTTGGCCTCCCTCTGCAAAACGGCCGCGGCAACAGCAAATGGCCGAATGTTTCGCAGCAGCCGCGTTCGCGACCGCGCCGAACAGACTTCGTTTTCGTTGAGAGAGAGAGAGAGGAACAGAGGAAGAAAGAGAGGAACAGGGATGGAGAAAGAGACTAGAGAGAGTAGAGGAGAGAGAGAGAGAGAGAGAGAGAGAGAGAGAGAGAGAGAGAGAGAGGGGAACAGAGGGAGAAAGAGAGGGAGGAACAGGGATGGAGAAAGAGACTAGAGGAGAGAGAGAGAGAGAGAGAGAGAGAGAGAGAGAGAGAGAGAGAGAGAGAGAGAGAGAGAATACTTCGCGCAAAGCTTATGCACAAAAAAACGACATAGCAATTTAGTACGCACGCACATGCCGATGAAGCAGGGCGAGATTCATAACTTGGCGAGTCCCGGAATCCTCTGCGGGTTCCGGTCCCATTCAGACTGGTCAGCAAATCCCCGCACGCCCAGGGCGAGCCGCGGCGGCGGGGCCCGGGGTCTGAGGGGCCTAAGTGGCCCACGGGCCAAGGGGTCCTCCGGCCGGCCGGCCCGACCCTCAAAGCCCCGCTGGAGCCGCGCTGGAGACTGATTCTGAGGGGCGTTCTCGTCGCTCCGTCTCTCTCGCACCCACAGGGAACGCGCCGTGAGTGCGAGAGAGACAGAGCGACGAAAGCGACTCTCGGTCTGCGGGGGCTTGTCCAGTGTCCGGCTGTATTGTGTGGAGCCACACTCTGGGAAAAAATCACAGTAAATCCTGTAGTGAAGTACAGCGAAACCTGTGTTCAGAGTACGGATTTACTGTACTTTTGGCAGATCCTGTACATGACGGGATTTACTGTACCACAGGAGTGGAGTACGGAATATCCTGTACCAATCCAGATACTGTCGCCAGGCACAGTAGATCCTGTGTTCTAAACTACAGTAAATCCCGGCAAAAAAATTAACGGGATTCACTGTGGTTTTTTCGCACAGTGCAACCGACCGTCGACCTCCACTCCCACGGCGGCGCACAGTGGGCCAGAAGACCGGTGGAGGCGGACAAAACTCAAGACGCGTTTTGAGCTCCAGAGTCGCTAAAGAGCACTCGAACCGAGCGTGTGACCCCACCAATGGATTCCCCGTTCGGAGAGCAATCCATTGGTGGGGTCACACGCTCGGTTCGAGTCCTATTCAGCGACTCTGGAGCTCGAAACGCGTCTAGAGTTTTGGCCGCCTCCATCGGTCTTCTGGCCCACTGTGCGGCGCTGGCTTCGGGGAAGCGAAATGCGGACCGACTTATTTTTGTTATTTTTAGGGGTTCCGACGAAGGAGGACCCCTATTGCCCGGGACGGCTCAGATTATTTTCCTTCCGCCGACGCAAATCGAAAAATGGTTCCCGCCAAATTACTCGTTATCATAATGAAATAAAAATTCCTGAAAATTTCAAAAATTTATCGTGAGAATTTAACGTAAACGACTAAAACATAAATTTGCAACAATCAAACACCCTTATCCGTTCACATTTTCCAGAAACGTTTCAAAGAGAAAATGTGCCACTCCTCAAAACTAAACCTCCTGCCTCATCAAAGTGACAAGAAATCGTCTGTGTTCTGAGAAAATGGTTAAAACATGAAAGAAAAAGTCTCCATGGCAACGACACGGTGTCATCGTACCAACTGTCAAAATTTAAAGTCGCCGATAAAAAGAAATCAAAACGCCGTGAAATTCGAAAATGCCAATGCTAACGCATTGCACGGTGCCCCGATATTGGAACATTTTTGAAGTCTGTCAGTAAAAAGTTCGTAGCAAAAAAGACGCAATAAATTAATTGTCGGGGGTTGGCAACAATTTTCTCGGCGTCTGCGCCCTTTCGAAAATCGCGAGGCTGAAAAAACGAGTAGTCGCGCATTGAAACTGCCCCTCCATTGTTGCTGAGGTTGAATTGTTTGGCTTGCTTTTAAAGGTTTCGGTTCTCGTGATGTTTCCTCAATTCTGTAACCAGCACGACGTTGGTTTGACGAACTTTATAAACTCGGGAGAGGTGGTTTCGGAACGCGGATGACTTTCGTTTGACGAACATGAGCACTGTAAATCGCGAGATCGCGAGATGGACTGAGATGGTCATTGTGTTAACATCAGGTTTGGGGATGTAAAAATGCCGGTAGGATTCAAAGTTACGTAAATAACGGTAAAATTAACGTAATTAACGTTAAGACGACAGACTTCAAATTCATTTCCACAACCGGAACACCGTGCATTGCGTTAGCATTGGATTTTTTGTTTCTCTGCTAGTGTGCCAGCAGAGAAGATGATGCAGCGCAGAGCAGTGGCTTAGCCGGACTGGCCTGAAAGGAGGGGGTTTTGTCGCACTTTCCCCCCGCCTTCTTGCGAGCGGAGAGCTGCGGATTGCCTGACCATCAGACCTCCGTTGAGAGCTGGAATGGAAAGGTTAAAATTCACACAGCAGAGAGAGAGAGAGAGAGAGAGAGAGAGAGAGAGAGAGAGAGAGGGGGGAAAGGGGGAGAGAAGGAGAGGGGGGAGAGAGGGGGGGGGGGGGGGGGAAAGAGAGAGAGAGAGAGAGAGAGAGAGAGAGAGAGAGAGAGAGAGAGAGAGAGAGAGAAAGGCGGGCTTTGGCCGGCTGGACCGAGCGGCTGCATGGAGGGCATGAATAACAAGCGAAGGCAGGCCGTGGGCAAGCCATGGGCAGGCTAGCCATGGGCAGGCCGAGGCACTGCGAAGGCCGGGGAGTAATGAACCGGAAAGAGGCCAGTGCTCTGGCAAAATGTGGCCGCGCCACTGGGAAAGAAAGAGAGCCGAACCAGGGCTTCCGTCGCTCCGTCTCTCTCGCACTCGTGGGGCGTGCCGTGGGGGTGCGAGAGAGACAGAGTGCGGAGACTACTGTCAGGTATCAGACTGTAGTACAATGGTACACTGTAAAAAATTCCGTACTTTTGTACGGAAATGGTAAAGAAAAATCTAGTACGGAGGTACGGAGAAAAGTACGGAACCCGATAAAAAGTACGGAACGTTCCGTAGTTGGCAAGTACGGACGGTCCAGGCAAATTATTGACCAGACATGTTCCGTACTTTTTCCGTACTTTTTTCT